AATAAATTTTCCTTAAAATTATAGGGATCGATAGCAATTGAAGCAAGCTGCTCAAAACTGTAGGTCTTTTAGGTGTACGCCTTGATTTGGCTAAACTACGACCGAAAAACCACTAAAAAATGAAGATTTATAATATAAAATTAAATTTCTGATTTTTTTAAGGTTTGAATACCTACAAATATAATAAGTAAATACTAAATTTAAACCTAAATAAGTTTAAAGATGGAATGTTTTCAAACTAGTTCTTAAAAAGAACTGTTGCTGTATCTGTTTGAGATAAAATCCTTAAAATTACATTAAATTGTATATAACACATATCATATTGTATGTAATACAAATTTATATATAATTTTTTCCAGTGTACTTATTCAAATAGCTCATGCTCGGGGAAAAGTTTCCCCAAGAGCCCAAAAGTACGGGCGAAAAGCGGGAGAAGGGAAAAACAGGGAAACGGAGGAGATAACAAACAAATTGCCAGTGCAATTGCAAACTTGAGATTATCGCCCGCCTTCGGTGGCCGCATTACTCGTACTTAACTTTACTTAACTCCACTTTGGCTTACTTAACTTTGCATTGAAGTGCCGGAGAAACAGGAGGCATTGCAAAATGCAATGGCCTGCTTATCGCAGCGGCTGATGCAAAAATAACTTCCATTGTTGCCCAAGAAACTTTTAATGGCTATAAGATGAGCGCCGACATCGGTGACCACAATTAATCTCAAAACTTTACAGTCGCCCGAGGATGAGATTGAATCTTCCCGCCTACTCGATTGGCATCTTTCGATAACGATGAGCGATTAAAACGCTCACGGCTGCCTGATATGGCACTCATAGCTACTAAAGTATGATTCACACTACCTCTATATGCATTTCTGAAAGCAGTGCTGTCAAACATTTTGTTATATGAAAATGTATATTTATTTCTTTAAAACTCATAACTCATGCTTATCTGAATATCAATAAAGCTTAAACTATATTTACTTAGACAATGCAGGGTAGAAGAAGTGCAATGCTTTTGACTGTTAATTTGTAATAATATTGTACTTTTCCATTTAATTATTAACATTAATTATTAACATTAATTTAATAAAATAAATTAATTTGAACTATTTTCTTTCCATAACATTGGACTGAGACATTGGCCGCGCTCAGCAGAACGACATGTTACCTGATCACTGATGCAATTCTTACGATAGTTCTGCTAAACGCACATAATTACTAATCATGTTGCAAAAGTTCTTTCATGATGATCAGTAAAAAAGGAGCGCAAAAATAGTGCGCTACCTTTTCGTGATACATAACACATTGCTGCTGGCATGCATAATTGAGTGAAATATCAATAAGAACTAACAGAAACCATGAAGTAAGTTAAATTCTTTACAACTGTTTAGGCTTTTTTGATTTTTACGTCTCCACGATTGCTGTGTGTACTGCTACAGTTGCGGTAACGATAACTTTTTAAAAACGCAATTTTAATTTAAAAAACATTTGTTTATTAAGTGATTGTCAAAACCTTACTATAAGCTTAATTTAATAAGACATTTAAATTGCATTGTGGAGTTTTTCGTGTAAAATGTTTTACTTTTTGATCTTATTTTAAAATCGTTGTTTGGTTTGGATATTTGTAATTATAACTAAGTCATTTAAAAATTCGAAAAATTGTGTGATCACACTGCATCTCAACCTGAAATCGATAGCCGATAGATAATAAAAGGCAAGCCCGATAGCCGATAGCTTCAGAAATAAATAAATATCGAACTCCAGCACGTGGAAATAAATATTGCTGAAAAACAACGCAATTTGCGACGAAAAGAAGCCACAACAGACCCATTCCCAACATGGAGGTAGAGAATATCAAGGCGGACGCATTCGAGCCGGCGAAGCGGGCGCCCAAGCGCGGAGCCACCGGTGGTGGGCAGCACGACGTGGAAATGCAGGTCGACGAGGCCACCGGCATCGAGGGCCAGGTGCTGGAATCTGTACGAGCCTCGGCTCCGCCCAAGGCCAAGCGGGCCAGGAGCGAGCTGCGCAAGGTGTCGGTGCCGCCGCACAGGTACTCCTCGCTGAAGGAGCACTGGATGAAGATCTTTACGCCCGTGGTGGAGCACATGAAGCTGCAGATCCGCTTCAACATGAAGGCGCGCCAGGTGGAGCTGCGCGTGGGCCCCGAGACGCCGGACATTGCCAACCTGCAGCGCGGAGCGGACTTTGTGCGCGCCTTCCTCTGCGGCTTCGAGGTGGACGACGCCCTGGCTTTGCTGCGGCTGGAGGACCTCTTCGTCGAGTCTTTCGAGATCAAGGACGTGAAAACGCTGCGCGGTGACCACCAGTCTCGTGCCATCGGTCGTCTGGCCGGCAAGGGTGGACGCACCAAGTTCACCATCGAGAACGTTACCAAGACCCGCATCGTGCTAGCCGACAGCAAGATCCACATACTCGGCAGCTACCAGAACATCCAGCTGGCACGTCGGGCGGTCTGCAACCTCATCTTGGGATCGCCGCCCAGCAAGGTGTACGGCAACCTGAGGGCCGTCGCCTCGCGCCTTTCGGAGCGCATGTGATCGGGGGATTGGGAGTTGAGATGGAGAAGTAGTTGCATCTTTTTTTTAGCATTAGCAATAAATAATAAATATAACATGTATTCATACATTTACAATATACACACATAAACACGGGAATGACTGGATAACTAGAGCTTGGTCAGGATGAGCAGCAGCAGCATGAAGAAGGTGACTGCCGCCAGGACCAGGATGACGCACATCTTGCGGTTCTTGCGTTGATACATCTCGGCCTTGTGCAGCTGGCGCAATCCCTCAGAGACGCGCGTCTGCGTCTGCTCCACATTGTAGTCTATGCGATCGAGCACGGTGCCCTGCTCCTGGACCATGTGGCCCAGGTCCTTGAAGATGTCGTTCAGGTCGTAGATGGACTTGACTATCTTGGTGACCTCCTGCTCGCGGTGTTGCGCCACCCGTGAGTTCTCCTCCTCGAAGAGCAGCAGCTGCTGTTGGGTCATCCGGCTGGCCGGCGGCCTCTGGAAGTGATCATCGATGGCCTGATCGTCGTCCTCGAACAAGTAGCTATTGCCATTGCTGCCCTTGCCCTCCGCCGGCGGCTGCAGGAAGTTGTCAAAGGAGTCGACGAAGTTCTCGACACCCTGGTCGCCCAGTTCCACATTGGTGAAGACATCGCCGGCGCCGCCGCCGTCATCGAAGTACTTCTGCGAGCGCTCCTCGCGGGAGTTGAGCTGCAGCAGGTAGGCATTTTGGCTGGCCCGGAACTTCACCGTCAGCTCCTGCAGCTGGAGCAGGGCGCAGTGCACCGCGTTGGCGGTCAGGCACTGCTCCACCTTGGTGCCCACGCCAATGCTGGAGCGCACGCACTGGATGTGCCGGTGCGTGGAGGTGATCAGCTTGGAGACGATCTGGCTGAGCACCTCGATGTCGCACTCGTCGTCCCGCTGGTCATCGAAGGCGGGTCGCAGCAGGTGGCGGGCGTGCAGGGAGCCCAGTTCGTCCAGCTTCGGCTTGATCCTGCAGGTGGGAGTGAGTAAGTGAAATCTACCATGTAGCTTGGACTACCGATTACCCACTTGGACATGGTGTACTGCGCCTCCTCGAACTTGTCCAGCCAGGCGGGCGGTGTGCCGTAGTCATCCTGCAGCTCCAGTCCCTCCTCCGCCTCCCGCACCGAGTGCTTCAGCAGGCGCTCCGCATCACTGCCCCTCTGCAAACCCAATCACGAAAACAACATATGCTTAATCACAGACCCACTTTGACCCCAGATTTCGGACTTACCCTGTCGTCGTAGTGGCTCCGGTTCTTGGAAGCATTGTTGCGCATGATGACGAACACCTCCGTCAGGTTGCGGGACGTCATCCTGGCTGTCTACTCCTGATTTCTCGAGGAGATCAATAATTTGGAAATTTCCGATTGGAGTTCTGTTTCTATTGTGATTTGCGGTATGCCCGCAGCTTGACCCGTTTGAAATACCATGTGTGTGGTCACACTAGCATTATTTTTGGCGCTACTATTTTAATTTAATATAATTGAGTTCCATAATACATTTTTTAAAATTTTAATTCATCTGATAGATGATTTGGCTGTTGGTCACAAACAACCACCACCTTCTGCATAATTGATTTTTAATTTGCTAATGTTTTTTGTTAAAAAGGGGCCAAAATATAATTTTGCATTTTACTTAAGGGGTAACATCATGTTTTCTGCGAAAATGGACAGAAATAAGAAATCCCAGGTTTAAACGCCAATGGATTGGAAATTAAACTACGAGCTTAAAGAAGTATAACACTCCCCATACTGACTATTATTACAATGATATTTGAGATAGATTGGAAATTAAGCCACGATCTCAAAAAGGTATAATATTTCTCATTCTATCATTTATTATCATCTTGTTACTTCAGAAAAATGGGATTCAGATTTTAGATCACAATACTTGTTTTCTTTGCAATTTGCCAACCGTAATTTAGCCAACCCAAGGCGTACAGCAAACTGACTGTTTTGGACAGCTTGCTGCCTATGCTACCGATCACTTATGGAAAATTTGTTTTTCGACCCATTATAACATTCCCTGATCTTAAAATATAATCGGGTTAATGACTAACTTAAAAGCTTTATACAATCTAACTTTAATAGTGCTCAAAATTTAGTTACGGAAACTATAATTTGACATGTTCATTCCCAACAATTTAAAAACTTATTAAATCCAAAATATTTTAATAATAAAAAATAAGTCCAACTCCTCACCCAAAGTAAACGTAAAATCTAATTCTTATTGCATTGTAAAAATGCATCTTTAAGCTTGTTTACGTTTTGTGCAATAAAAAATATTGAGAACAGATAGCCAGTACTTACTGTATTGTTTTGTTTTCTTAGCGGTGACTGTCATCCAGACCAGTGACTGGAAACGGGTCACGGCTGAAAACTATCGCCCATTGAAGCATATCGATAGTCTGCACTACCCGAAATCGATTGCTTGATGGGTAGTTTGCACCTCCCCCTGATATCGATTGCCACAATTTTATTTCATTTTAAAATAATTCTTTGATTTAAATTCGCATTGTACTGGCAATTGGCAGGGTCGTTACAAACGGAAAGTGCGAATATCGGAGAGTGCGAGTGCAGGGGAACCAGTCTGGGTGTCGTAACTCCGGGCGGAGTCACAGAATGACCAGTGCGGAGAAGGATAACAACGGATTATCCTGATCCTGGACTCGGACTCCCGAGTGCAGTTGTGTGCGTGCCCTGCGTGCGCCCCCGCGAGTGCGTGTGTCTGTGTGTGCAGTGTGTGTGCCAGTGACGACATTGACCCGCCCCCGCCCACAACACAAAACCCCCTCCGCCCCCGCAAACACCAACCCCTTCGCAGGGAAAATGTGCCATGCCATTGCTGTTGTTGTGGCTTTGGTTGTTGTTTCTAGGCTAACTGAGGCGGGGGAGCACTAGAAAAGTCAAAGCCGAGAAAAAAAACCATGTTCAATCGCCAACCGAGCGGAGGAGCTGGATCCAGTGGCCAGGGAGCGGGCACCAGCTCGCAGGCAGCTCCCGCCCCACCAGCCAATGCAGCTGGAGGAGGAGGAGGAGCATCTGCGTCTGGATCTGGATCATCCGGATCTGGATCATTACAACCGCCTAGCCAATCGCCCGATCTCTACCTGCGCCCGCTGCCCTTCCTCGACGCCAAGTGGCTGCGCGCCGATCTCATCGCCTCCCTGCGCAATGCCGCCGATGGCTCCGTGCTGTGGAACCACCTGATCCAGGACTGTGAGCTGGTCTCCTCGCCCACCGCCCCCCTCCTGAATGCCCGTGGCCAGCTGTCCTACCTGGGCGACGATGGCAAGCACTACTGCGGCGCCCAGCAGCTTAAGTGCTCCTGCTGTCAGCCGGAATACTGTGGTCCACTCTCCGCCTGCAACTGCGATGGCTGCCGACCCCTGGACTCGGACACGGCCATCAAGAAGCTCACCACCCAGGCCGCAGCCCAGCAGGCGGCCCATCTCAGCCAGGCCACCGATATGGTCCTTAGCGGCTGGCTCTGGAGTCAGCCGCCATCGCAGCAGGCGCGCCTGGACTGCCAGCGTTCCATGATCTCCGAGCTGCAGGAGCTGGCCCTGCGCGCAGCCGGCAACTGCTTGTCCGCCCAACATCTTCGCCAGCAACTATTTATCTACGAGCGCTACTTTGTCGCCCTGAAGAGAGAGCGGGAGCGGGAGCGTCCGCCCGCGACAAGCACACAAGCGGTGCCGGCCAGCAACACCGCCGCCACCGCAAGCACCGCCATTGTCGCCGCCACCAATGCCATCAACGCAGTGGAGCCCCAGCCGACGGAGCAGCCCGAGCACGGAGCCCTCGGCTTGGCGCGAGTGGCCACCCGGGCCGCCCTGAACTTTAGCTTTGCCTTCCTGCGGCGCGCCTGGCGCTCCGGCGAGGACATGGAAATGTGCAGCGAACTGCTGAGCGAGGCGCTGGCTTCTCTGCAGGAACTGCCGGAGGCCACGCTCTTCGATGCAGCCGTCGTCTCGTCGCTCTGGCTGGAGGTTATGGAGCGCTCCATAAAATTTCTGCGGCTGGTGGCGCTCGGTGATCCGATGGGTGGTCGTTGTACTGCACCGCTTAACGATCGCCACACAGCACTGTGCCTGCTCCTGGAGCTGGGCGTCCAGAAGGGCACGCTGGCTGCCACGCTCGAGTGCGTTGTTTTGTTGCTGATGCTCTGGGAAAAGGATCGCGCCGGCAACGACAACCGGGACATGCCTCGCAAGACAGGCGCCCCGCTGCAGCGCATTCTGCTGCGCTACCAGAAGATTGGAGCCACATCGAAGGGAGGCGGCCTCGTCGGCGGAGAACCTGCTCCAGTGGCCAGTGCCACCGAAACCTTCCTGCGCTTTCTCTCGCTGCCCAAGAGCAGTGCGGCCATTGTGGACCTCCGCCGCGCCGCCGTCGTCATCATTTCTCACCTGGACCGGATGGTACAGCCGCTAGTGCCTCGCTGCCTGCTCCGCGGCGGACACGCCCCTGCCGCATCGTCCAGTTTGGCACCCCAGCAGCGGGTCTATGCCCTGGGCTGGCCATCGCTCTCCAAGGATCAGCAGGGATTCAGCGCTGAGCCGGCGCTGAGCTGGAGTGGAGAAGCGACGTCGGTGCCCACGCTCAACTGCCGCTTTCAGATCAAGCAGGTGGCCTGCTGCGAGAGCCAGATGCTCCTCCTCAGCGAGGAGGGCAAGCTGCACACCTGGCGTCTGGCCAAGCCGGAAGCGGAACCGCTGCCCATGGAAGAGGTCGCCCACGAGGTGTTCATCAGCATCGCCGGCCACTGCGAGGGTCGTCACTTTCTGGCCATTGATAGCAACCGTAAGTCGAAGAAAAAGGCTACCCAGGAATGGATTAAGCTGCTTTGAAGCGCATGTTTAGATATTTTACTCTATCCGTTTTAACTAGCATGTTATAGGGTATCAGAAGACATTTGTTGACTTAGCAGTACTTGGAAAAGAAAGATTCATACTATATAATCGGATCGATCAAATTATTATTTACCATATATCACTTAATATCGCTATTCAGTAACTTAAGATTATATACATTGTCGTAGGTATGCACCATAGTGTAAAGATTCTTGAAAATCTACTTTACTGTTGCCATGTCTGGAATATTGTGTAAATAATCCTACAAAAGGCACTCTAATTTCTGTCTTACGATGCACGTACAAACATTTCTCTTGGGAAAAACATTTGTTAACAAATGGTTTCTATAAATATTTGGTTAAGATATTTAATTTTAAAAGCTTTGATCACCTATGGTGCCAAAGAAGATATAAACTTGCAAACGATATTTATTTTTATAAGGAAATTATTCGAAGTTCGCTAAGGACCCTTATCTGTCCTTCTGATAAGTTTCGAAAGAAAAGTGTAGCATGCTTTTTAGCGTTATCAAAGGTTTAGTTAGTAGGTGGGTAGAAACTATAAAATGAATTATTAACTTAAGATAACAATGCACTATTCCTAATCCCAATATCCTTACTCTTTGCAGACAATGCTTACTCCTGGGGCACTGGAGAAGATCACCGACTGGGTCATGGGGACACGCATGCCCGCGCCGTGCCCACCAAGATTGCTGCCCTGGAACAGCACTGCGTCCAGTCCGTCTACTGCGGTTGCTCATACAGCGCGGCCATCACCTGCGGCGGGAATCTGCTGACGTGGGGACGCGGAACGTATGCCCGCCTGGGCCACGGAAACAGCGATGATCGCTGCCTGCCTACACTAGTGGCGGCGCTGGCCGAGCATATGGTGGTGGACGTGGCCCTGGGCAGCGGCGATGCCCACTCATTGGCTCTCACATCTAAGGGATTGGTGTTCGCCTGGGGCGATGGTGACTACGGCAAACTGGGCAATGGCAACTGCAACGGCAGCCTCCAGCCGATTCTTGTGGAATCACTACCCCGGGTGCAGCGCATCTTTGCGGGCTCCCAGTTCTCGGTGGCTCTGAGCAGCGAGGGGCAGCTCTTCACTTGGGGCAAGGCCACCTGTCTGGGCCACCAATTGGTGGAGCGCAGTGTCCAGGGTTGCAGTGTTCCGCGTCTCGTCACCAGTTTGCAGGTTAGGTTTTTTCAGGATCCATATATGCTCCTATCTCACTCTCTCATCTTTGCTTTCAGCACAAACGCATCGTGGACGTGGCCGTGGGTGTGGCTCATTGTCTAGCCCTCTCCAGCAGCGGGGAGGTCTTCGGATGGGGCCGTAACGACAGCCAGCAAATCTGTCCAGCCTCCGTGTCCAGCGAACCGTTGTTGCGGACGCCCATCCTCGTGGCATTGCCTACGCTTCCGGCCAGCGGAATCGCCTGCACCAGCGCCCAAAGTCTGGTGTGGACCCAGAGCTCACAACAGGGTGTGCCGCTGCGCGCCCCCTTTGTCATCGATTTAGGGGAGCCCACGTTTCGCCTGCTCGACCAACTGCTGAGCATGTGCAGCAGCCAGGACAACCGGCAGACTCCGAATCAGGAAAGCGAGTGCATCGCCGTGGCTTGCCTCAACCTGATCCGCCTCCAGCTGCTTGCTCTCATCGCCAACGGAGTTGAGCCACGCCAGGTGGGCCTCGCCAGTGGCAGTCGCCTCCTCGGCAGCCTGAAGACGCGTGTCCTCGGGTTGGCTGGTGGCAGCCAAGTGCTACGCACAATCCAAGTAGCCGCTCAACAGGCACTGCAGGTAAGAGGATTTGCATTTAGGTTAAGTTAGTTTATTGAGAGTCCAACTAGTTTTCATGAACTAATATAAACCTTATGTTACCTTTCATCATAGGACGGTTGGAGTGTCCTGCTGCCCACAGCAGCGGAGCGTGCCCAGACGCTCACCTCTCTGCTGCCCTCGGAACCGGGACAGGCGTCCTCCGCTGGCCACCGCTTCATGACGGACCTCCTAGTCAGCTCCCTGATGGCCGAGGGCGGATTGGAGTCGGCGCTGCAGCACGCCATCCGCCTGGAAAGCAGCTCCTGCTCCGCGGACTGCGGTGACGGCGTCCATTTGCCTTTGCTGCAGTTGATTACACGACTGCTAGGCAACAACGCCGCTCTCTCGCAGACACGACTCTCGCCCACTTTGGGCAAGCAGCAAGAGAAGGAGGAGGAGGAGCGCGAGCAGCAGCACCAGGAACCGAGCACCAGTCCCAGCTTGAGTCTGCTGCACCGCTTCCAGCGCCTGCTGCTGGCCCACATTCACCAGGCGGAGCCCGAGGAGGAAACCACTGGTGCCGAAGCGCTTTTGTTGCAATACCTACATGCCCTAATCCCCGCCTGCGTGAGCACTCTGCAGAAGGCCCACGAATTGGCGCTGCAGTGTCGGGAGCCGGGCGAACATTCCCTAAGTCATCAGGTGGGTCATCTGGGTCGCGTCCTCCAGGCGGACATTTCAGACGCCCTGCTGCACGAGCTGCTGGTGGGTCTGGTGCTGCTCAAGCGCGATCGTCCCCAGTGTCTGGGTGGTCTGCGTTGGGCGCGCCTGTTCCTGCCCCTTCTCCGCGTCCTGGACAGACTCAATCGAGCCCTTGGCGAGGGAGAGCTGCGCGACGGCGACGACATGGGCTGGCCCGGCATTATTTGTCGCGGTGGACCCAAGGGTGGACCACCTCCTGCCGATCCCGAGACGCACTATGTGCGCCGAGCGGACATGGAGAATTTACTGCTCGACGGTAGTCGCATCATCATCCTAGCTGGCTATGTCTGCGATCTAAGCGGATATAAGTGAGTAAACTCGGGCATCTTAAGCTCCAAACACAATCATGTCTTCCTTTTGACATTCACCCTTTGCAGCTGCGAGTCAGAGACGCTACGAAGCATTTTGGATGCGGGCCTAGGCAAGGATCTTACGGCCGAGATGAGCAACCACAGGAGCGCCATGGAATACATCCTTCAGCACCACAAGCTGGGCAAATACATGGCGCAGGCTAGCAACGAAGAGAAGGTAGGGTCTATAAAAGAGTTCAATATTCTTTGACTAATGATTTAATTTTATATAGACATCGGCGCCTGGACCCAGCCGTCTCACCCACTTTAGTTCGGAGTGCGCTCTGGCGCAGCTGCTTGGCCTGGTGGCAAACCTGATGTGCAGCGGACCGGCCCTGCAGCCGGCTGAGCTGCAATGTCGCCAGCTGGACAAGTCCAACTTGCTAAGCGGTGGTCTACAGCTACTCCAGCCGAGCAATCCGTTCGACGAGGAGAAGGGTGAGGCGCGCAGCAGCCAAAGCTGTCACAGCACGGCGGGCAACACGCCCACGGAGCAACCGCCCCCGTTGCCGCTGCAACAGCAACTGGCTCCGGGACGTGGCAAGTCCCAGCTGCAGCAGCGAGCAGATGCTTTCATCAGCGGCCTGGCAGAGGCCCGTCTTTCCGAGCCGCCGGTGGCGGCTTGGCTGGCGCTCACCGAGCGCTACTGCAAGGCGCATAACTTGATGTGGCACCAGGAGTTCGCCACGGAACATCCCGTCCAGGAGCTGGAGCGCTTGCTGAGCGCCGTGCTCATCCGGCATCAGTATCTCGGCGGTTTAGTGCTGAGCGCACTGGAGACGACAGAGTCGCCGCCGCCACGACAACTGGGAGAAATCATTAGGCTGGTGCACCAAGCCAAGTGGTCGGTGGTTCGCACACGGCAACAGCTGAACCGCAGTTACAAGGAGGTGTGTGCCCCCATCCTGGAGCGCTTGCGCTTCCTGCTCTACGAGGTTCGACCGGCGGTCAGTCCACAACAGCGTGGATTACGCCGCCTGCCCATTCTGCAGCGTCCGCCGCGCTTCCGCATGCTGGTCCGTCGTCTCCTTCAGGAGCTGCGTTCCTCGCGGCAGCCGGCTAAACCGGAAGATCTGCTCAATGCCACTATTCAGCAGGAGCAAGAGAAAAAGCCCCAGGCTATGCCCAAACAGGAGCTAGAGGAACAGGAAGAGGAGGAAACGTTGTTGCGACGGCTGAATGAACGCCAGATCCATGGCGAGGGAGAGCTGGACCCGGGGCTTATGCAGGACATTGTGGACTTTGCTCTGCAGGACAGCTGCGACGTAGAGACGGCGCGACGGGCCATGTACTGCCAGATGCAGAGATACCAACTGAGGCTGGCCGGTCTCCAGCTTGTCCAGCAACTTCTGGAACTACATGGCCTGTTGGATGCAACGCAGTACAGTCTGCTAAACGGTTTCCTCGGACTGCACTTAAAAGCCACATCCGCCGAAAGAGGAGGAGGATCTGCGGGATCCGGGAGCTCCCTGCATGTTCTTGGCCAGCTGAACATGATAAGTGCCTACCAGAAGGCCAGACTACTGCTGGCACAAGCCCGCGTCCTCGACTGGGCGGTCCGGGAGCTGCGTCGTCTGGTTAACCAGGAGCAGCAGGGCCACGCCCGCGGCAAGGACAGCACCAATCTAGGCACCTATGTCCTCGTGAAGCGCTTGCCGCGTGCCCGCTTCCTCTTGAGCGTGTTCGGACTGCTGGCCAAGGAACTGGGCCCCAACGAGCTGGGCCTGCTCATCAACTCCGGCCTGTTGGGCACCGTGCTTGGATTGCTGGCGCAGACGGGCGGCGAGGGCGTGACCGGTGGTCAGATGCACGGCGAACTGAGTATCCTGTATGAAGACAGCGTGCTGAAACAAAAATCCAGCAAAGCGCAGCTCAGTGGTCCCGATCTGGCCAAACTCATGAAAATCGGCACCAGGATTGTGAGGGGAACGGACTGGAAGTGGGGTGACCAGGATGGCAACCCACCCGGCGAGGGGCGCATCATTAGTGAGGTTGGAGAGGACGGGTAAGTTCTGAGACACTGATTCCTGCACCTAATTTCCCAACTTATTCGTTTTGCTTCTTTTTTTCCAGATGGGTGCGTGTGGAATGGTACACGGGAGCCACCAACTCGTATCGCATGGGCAAAGAGGGCCAGTACGATCTTCAGCTGGCTGACAGCGCTCTCAATGTTGCCTCACCCACGGAACCCGAGCGGGAGGATGTCTCCGGTAGCGAAGCCTCGCCCAGCAGCGATTCGCATCCATCGAAATTGCTGCGCCACTGTGCCGCCAAGCTTCTCCAAATCCTGGCCGTCGGAAGTGGACTGCACGGTGCTCAGCTGGATAAACACGCACTGCGCGGCATGACCAGCATGTTCCGGGCCATCATTTACCCCAAACCATCGATGTCTAACATCTCCCATTCGTTGGGTTGGCTGAACCTGGGCTTTATTCGAGCCATTTCTGGTAAGTGTCTTTCGTGTTAATATATTTTTTAAAAATGAATTCCATGAAAATCTGGTTTTCCCTCCCAGGCGATTGCCCGCGTCTTTGCCTGGAGCTGAGCACCCCGGGGTGGTTGAGTCACTACCTATCGCTGCTGGAGCAGCCAGCGGGCAATGAGGCTGGTGTCTATCGGCAGCTCCACTGCCTGCGCCTGTTGCAGTTCATCCTGGCGCAGTGGGGTGTCGAGGAGGAGCCACGGATGCCCGCCCTAGTTCACCAACTGTTCGCCACACTGGGACGCATCGCACTCCACTGCCCCGGTGATGCCAGTCTGTTGCCCACGGCCGAGGGCAAGGCGCGCGTCTTGCTCACCGCCTCACATTCGGGCAGCGTGGCCGAGGAGCTGGTGGCCCTATTGCGCCGCCTGCACACGTTACCCTCTTGGAATCCTGTCATCAATTCCTTCCTGGCGCAGAAACTTTGCGTGGCCGCCGAACTTCTGGCAGAGCAATCGCCACACTCCACGTCGCTGGACAGTGAACAGGTGTTCGTGCTGGGTGTGCTCGGCGCCATGGGTGGCCACGATCTGCGGCCCCGCGTGGGCCTCCACTGCTTCCACGAAGGTAGCCACATGGTGATCGCAAGCTTCACGCCCAAGGGACGATGTCTGCTGGCGCCCGGCGGCGTGGGATCTGGCGTGGGATTCGTGAAGGTGCAACTGCCGGCGGTTATGCCCCATTTGGATCACAGCGTCTTTAGTCTGAGTCGTCTGCCGATGAACGAAATGCTACTGAATGCCTGGACAGTGCTGCTCTATGGACCAGCACCGGAACTCCGGGACCTGCCTAGCAGCCCGGATGGTCGCCTGGACTTGGCCCTGCTCCGGGCCCAGCAACTCCAAATGGCAGTGCTGCATACGAATGGAGTGCTATATCGCCACCAAGTAGCTTTACGGCGCATCCTCAAGCAACGTGCTCCGGGCAGCATCTATGCATCCGCCGAGGAAACGGACCGAAGCGTCCCGGATTCGCAGCAGCAGCCAGTGGAGCAGCAGGATCCAGAGCAGCAGCAGCTGTCTACAGGAAGTAGTCAGGAGTCGCAGCTCTTGATACAGTGCATCCTTTTGCGAGCCACCCAGGCATCGCCAGTGAAAGCCTGCTACAGCTACATGGATCTAGCGACAGCCGCCCTCAACTGCATCCAATCTCTGGCCACTCAGGCTCACCAGGAACTGAGCGAGGGTGGCAACGTCGCTCCCAACGCCCATTCCCTGTCAACACCCCCTCAACCGACGATGGTGCACGGAGTGCCGGTCTACAATGTGGCCAAGAAGGAGCAGAAGCCTCCGGAGCAAGTGGAGACCAAATCCAAGTGGCCGGCAGCGGCCACCGATGCCCAGCTTATTGGGCAGATTATGGAGATGGGATTCACCCGTCGCACCGTGGAATTCGCCCTCAAGCAACTGTCGCTGCAGGCGGAGATCATGCCCACACCCGAGCAAATAGTGCAATGGATCTTGGAGCATCCGGACGTGTGTGCCAACACCATCGAAGAGGATACGCTGCCACTGGCGTCTTCGAACTCGTCGCACGATCCGGAGGCGGATTCGGATAATGAGTGTCCTAGCTCGGATTCAACGACCTCATCCTCATCGTCCTCCTCCTCCTCCTCGGATACCGTAGAGGGTCAGCCGGTGGCCGCCAGTGCAGCCTCTCTTCAGATAAAGTTCCAAACTCGCAAGGATTTCCAGACCGCAGATCTCTACGCATTGTATGTGCGCGGACTGGTTCGCCCGGGAATGACGGTGCGTTGCTGTCGGGACTTTGAGGAGATCAAGCAAGGCGACATGGGCACCGTACTCATTGTGGATACCGAGGGACTTCACGATCTCAACGTCCAAGTGGACTGGCGCAACCATGGCAGCACTTATTGGGTGTGCTTTGTGCACATTGAACTGGTGGAGGCGGCCCTGGCCCAACACCAGCCCCGTCCCCCGCCCATCGCGGTTGGTGCACGGGTGAGGCTGCGCGCCTCAGCGCTCCGATATGGATTGCTGTGTCAGCTGCGTCTGGGCAGGGCGCAGGGATCGACGGCCATTGGTGTGGTGAGTTCTGTGCGCAGCAAACAGCTCACTGTAGACTTTCCGGACCTGCCCGCCTGGCAGGGTCACATCAACGAGGTGGAACTGGTGGCCCCGCTGCCTACGTCAATGAACAACCCTTTCTTGGGCGATACCTGCAGTCCAGCGGCGGCCAGCGATCTCATCGAAGATTGGTCGCGATGCATTCGTTCGCTAACGGTGAGTTCCAATGAGGCAGCTGCCAAGCATTTGCTTAATGGCAGCAACCAGCCGTGGCAGAGCTGCTCCAGCGGTCCCTGTCGCCATTGGATCCGCCTGGAGCTGCATGACCGCATCCTCGTCCACAGCCTGACCCTGAAGGTTAGCCCCGAGGATCACTCGCACATGCCATCGCTGCTGGAGATCCGCGTGGGCGAATGCATCGATAGCCTCAAGGAGTACACCTGGATCCCGGTGCCGGCGGGTGCTAGTCGAGTGCTGCTTATGCAGCACGTGCCAACGTACTACCCCTGGGTGGAAGTGGTGGTCAAGCAGTGCCAGAACAATGGCATTCAGTGCAAGGTACACGGCATCAAGTTCGTGGGTCGCCGCCAGCAACCGGATCTCCACCACATACTGGCCAACGCCCAGTTCCTGGCCAGCGAGTACGGCGGCGGAGTGGGACCGACATCGGCAGGAGCCGGATCCGGAGCGCTGAGCGCATCCCACGTAGAACCTGGAGCTGCGCCCGAGCAGGATCTGCCCTGCACCGTTATGGTGTGGGGTCTTAACGACAAAGAACAGCTGGGCGGCCTTAAGGGCTCCAAAGTAAAGGTTCCAACCTTCTCACAAACCATCAGTCGGCTGCGCCCCATCCACATTGCGGGCGGATCCAAAAGCCTGTTCATTGTGAGTCAGGATGGCAAGGTTTACGCCTGCGGCGAGGGAACCAACGGACGACTTGGCCTGGGCGTAACCCACAATGTGCCAATGCCCCACCAGTTGCCCGTGCTGCATCAGTATGTGGTGAAGAAAGTGGCCGTCCACTCCGGCGGAAAGCACGCTCTAGCCCTCACGCTCGACGGGAAGGTGTTCTCCTGGGGCGAGGGTGAAGATGGCAAACTCGGCCATGGCAACCGGACAACGCTGGACAAGCCGCGACTGGTGGAGGCGCTGCGAGCCAAGAAGATCCGCGATGTGGCCTGTGGGTCATCCCATTCGGCGGCCATCAGTAGCCAGGGTGAGCTTTACACCTGGGGCCTGGGAGAGTACGGACGCCTGGGGCATGGAGATAATGCCACGCAGCTAAAACCCAAGTTGGTGGCAGCGTTGGCCGGAAGAAGGGTCGTCCAAGTGGCCTGCGGCAGTCGGGATGCACAAACTCTTGCCCTGACGGAGGACGGAGCGGTGTTTTCGTGGGGCGACGGCGATTTCGGAAAACTTGGACGCGGCGGCAGCGAGGGATCGGATACCCCACACGAGATCGAAAGGCTCTCGGGGATCGGAGTGGTGCAGATCGAGTGCGGCGCCCAGTTCAGCTTGGCCCTAACGCGAGCCGGAGAAGTATGGACCTGGGGCAAGGGCGACTACTATCGCCTGGGCCACGGTGGAGATCAGCACGTGCGCAAGCCGCAACCCATTGGAGGATTGCGCGGCCGACGGGTCATCCACGTGGCCGTGGGTGCCCTGCACTGCCTAGCGGTCACAGATGCCGGTCAGGTGTATGCCTGGGGAGACAACGACCACGGACAGCAAGGCAGTGGCAATACGTTTGTGAACAAAAAGCCGGCTTTGGTCATCGGATTGGATGCGGTGTTCGTGAATCGGGTGGCCTGCGGCAGTTCGCACTCCATTGCCTGGGGACTGCCCAATACATCTATGGATGAGGAGAAGAGAGGGCCGGTGCCCTTTGGCAGCACGCGAGATCCCTTGGGTGGAAGCAGCCTGGGCATCTACGAATCGGAGACGGTGCAAACGCTGAAGCAGGAGGCCAAGCCGATGAATCTGAGCAGCCTGAGCGAGAGCCTGGCACTGGAGACTCCAGCGGCCAGGCAGGCGGCTCTGGGTCACGTCCTGCGCGCAATGAGCATCCTTCAAGCACGTCAGCTCATCGTGGCCGCGTTAACCAGCCACAGCAAGGTGAACTACAAGGAGCGGGGAGCGGCCGGTGGCGAGGAGGATCAACTGACGGGTGGAACGATAATGGGAGCGCCGCTGCAACTGGCGGAAACGATTGCCCAGGGAGGCGGCGAGGCGCCTGCCGATGCCACAGATGCCGCTTTGCAGGAGCACAGTCCCGAGGCAGCCATGGATGCGCTGACCGGAGGCGTAGGAGTGTCCGGTGGAGCTGCCACACTGCCGCCGCTCACCGCTGGCCCACTGAGCGCCTTCCAGAGCCTAACCGGATCCCTGTCCATGTCGGGATCGCTCTCGAGCAGCGCCCTGCCTCAGCACAAGCATTCCCGGATGTCGGCCAGCGCCATGTCCGTGATGGCCGCCACCATGACGCAGCAGGAGGAGATTCTATCGCACATTGGCAACTGCCACGGTCTGGACGACTTCGGCGGACTGCTTGGTGAGCCGGAGGCCAAGAGCCTGGTGGAACTGCTGAAATTGGCCGTGTGCGGACGTTGCGGACCACCGAGCACCGCCCAGACCATCGGCGACACCTTAATTTCTCTGGGAGCTGGATCACCTCCGGTTGCCGCCATGCTCCTGGAGACATGCATCACGGAACTGGAGGACTTGTGCACGTCGCGCCATTGCCTGGGTAAGTCACCCAAGCCAGTAATGCAGGAGAGCAGCCACCCGTATGTGGATAACGTCAATGTGACCGGAGTTGTGCGCATTCCCGGAGCAGAGATGCTGCGCCTGGAGTTCGACAGCCAGTGCAGCACGGAGAAGCGCAACGATCCCTTGGTGATAATGGACGGCTCTGGTCGGGTGCTGGCCATGCGCTCGGGGCGGGAGTTTGCCCACTGGGCGCCGGAGATCCGGGTGCCGGGAGACGAGTTGCGCTGGAAGTTCTCATCGGACAGCTCGGTGAACGGATGGGGTTGGCGCTTCTGGGTGCACGCCATCATGCCGGCGGCCACGCTGGGCGAGAGCGGATCGGATAGGGCGGTGCTGTCGCAGCCCTCGATGGCGCTGGTCATGTCGCTGCTGGATTCCCGGCTCGCTCCTCGCCAGCCGACTGTTCTGCTCCGTTTGGCCTCCGCCTTGGCCGCCTGCTCCCAACTAGGAGCACTCACCACCGCCCAGAGGATATGGTCTCTGCGCAAACTTCATGCCGTTCTGCTGCTGGAACAGGCTCCTCGTCCGCAGGATCCTGCGCTGTCCACGCTGCTCCACCCCCTGATACCGGAGCTATTGCGGCAGTACGAGTACGAGGAGCCTCAGGTACGTGGTGGAATCCATCTGATGCACTCGGATTACTTCAAGACTCTGGCTGCCCTGGCCTGCGACATGCAGCTGGATGCCACGCTGCCCGCCACCTCATCATCCTCGGCCGCAGCAGCGGGCTCCTCCTCCTCCACCGGAGATGTGCACAAGTGGGCCTGGTTCAAGCGCTACTGCATTGCCGTCCGAGTGGCCCAATCCCTCATCCGGCGCACGGAGCTGCCACGAGCATTTTGCCTGGAGGTGCGCAAAAAGTTTGCCGAAATGCTGCCCAGTTCCAGCACAAACTCGCATATTAATCCGGGCGGCCAATCGCCAGGGGCCTCCATGTTGAACTCCACAACTTCACTGTCGTCAAGCACGGCCAGCAATGTGTCCCCGCCGCCGGGTACCATTAGCGAGCATCACGATCTGCACTGCCATGCCCACCACTTGGATTCCACCAGCACGTTGCTGCACGAGGATCACACGCTGTTCCAGGCGCCGCATGATGCCCAACTGCTGCAGTGGCTCAACCGGCGACCCGACGACTGGGCCCTCAGTTGGGGTGGAGCCAGCACAATCTACGGATGGGGTCACAACCATCGCGGCCAGCTGGGCGGATTGGAAGGCAGCCGGATTAAGACGCCAACGCCCTGCGAGGCGCTCAGCCTGCTGCGTCCGGTTCAGTTGGCCGGCGGAGAGCAATCCCTGTTCGCTGTGACGCCCGATGGCAAGCTCTTTGCCACGGGCTACGGATCCGGTGGACGACTGGGCGTCGGTGGCAGCGACAGCTGGGCCATTCCCACGCTGCTGGGATCGTTGCAGCACGTGTTCGTCAAGAAGGTGGCCGTTAACTCCGGCGGAAAGCACTGCCTGGCGCTGACCACCGAGGGCGAAGTGTACGCCTGGGGCGAAGGCGAGGACGGAAAGCTGGGTCACGGCAACCGGATGAGCTACGACCGGCCCAAGCTGGTTGAGCACCTTAATGGAATGAGCGTGGCGGACATAGCTTGCGGCAGTGCCCACTCTGCGGCGATCACGGCCAGCGGCCATGTGCTCACCTGGGGCAAGGGACGCTACGGTCGACTGGGACACGGCGACTCCGAGGATCAGCTGCGACCCAAGTTAGTGGAGGCGTTGCTCGGCTATCGGGCTATCGACATTGCCTGCGGCTCCGGAGATGCTCAGACGCTGTGCATCACGGACGACGACAACGTTTGGAGCTGGGGCGACGGCGACTACGGCAAGCTAGGACGCGGCGGAAGCGATGGTTGCAAGCTGCCCTACAAGATCGAGAGTCTGGCCGGACTGGGAGTGGTCAAGGTGGAGTGCGGCTCGCAGTTCTCGGTGGCGCTCACAAAGTCCGGAGCGGTATACACCTGGGGCAAGGGCGACTTCCATCGACTGGGTCACGGATCAGTCGACCATGTCCGCCGTCCCAAGAAGGTGGCCGCTCTGCAGGGCAAGAAGATCATTTCGATTGCCACCGGTTCGCTGCACTGCGTCGCCTGTAGCGACTCTGGCGAGGTGTACACCTGGGGCGACAACGACGAGGGCCAACTAGGTGACGGCACCGTCACTGCCATCCAACGTCCACGCCTGGTGGCCGCCCTTCAGGGCAAGCACATCGTGAAGGTCACCTGCGGATCCGCGCACACCCTGGCCCTATCCACATCGCAGCTGAGCGAGCGACTGCGTCCGCTGCCCAATCCGCCGCTGGAGTACGACTTGGTGCGTGATCTGGCGCCGGAGGCCCTGCACGCCCGCCTCATCCTGCTGCACCACTTCTCGGAGTTGGTGTGCCCCTGCCTGGCCATGCTGCCCATCTCCGGCGACCTGAGCCTGGGCGCCCTGAAGGATGTGCTCGTGTACAACATCAAGGAGGCCGCCTTCCGCAAGGTCATCCAAACGACCATGGTGCGGGACAAGCAGCACGGTCCTGTCATCGAGCTGAACCGCATTCAGGTGAAGCGGTCACGCAGCCGATGCAACGGACTGGCCGGCGTGGATGGGATGAAGAGCGTCTTTGGCCAGATGGTGCAGAAGCTGCCGCTGCTCACCCAGGAGGCACTGGCGCTGCCCCACCGCGTCTGGAAGGTAAAGTTTGTGGGCGAGAGTGTGGACGACTGCGGTGGTGGCTACAGCGAGTCCATCGCCGAGATGTGCGACGAGCTGCAGAACGGCAGTGTGCCGCTCCTGATCAACACGCCAAACGGACGCGGCGAGGCGGGCGCCAATCGCGACTGCTTCCTTCTGGACCCCACCCTGTCTTCGGTGCTCCAGATGAACATGTTCCGCTTCCTGGGCGTCCTCATGGGTATCGCCGTACGCACCGGATCGCCGCTTAGCATCAAGTGAGTATGGATGGGATTAATTCCCTTTGTGGCCTTGCTCCTTGATCCTTGGATAAGCGACTAATACTTTATCGTTTCCCTTTCAGTTTGGCGGAGCCCGTCTGGCGTCAGCTGACCGGCGAGATACTGCGTCCTACAGATCTCACCGAGGTGGACCGCGACTATGTGGCCGGGCTGCTCTGCATCCGCAACATGGACGACGACCCGAAGTTGTTTAACACGCTGGAGCTGCCGTTCTCGACGTCCTCGGCCCGTGGCCACGAGGTGCCGCTGTCCACGCGCTACACGCACATCTCGCCCAGGAACCGGTCGGAGTACGTCCGCCTCGCACTCGGCTTCCGGCTGCACGAGTTCGACGAGCAGGTGAAGGCGGTACGGGACGGCATGTCCAAGGTGATTCCAGTGCCTTTGCTCTCGCTCTTCTCCGCCGCGGAGTTGCAGGCGATGGTCTGCGGCTCGCCGGACATCCCGCTGGGCCTGCTGAAGTCGGTGGCCACCTACAAGGGCTTCGATCCAAGCTCGGCCCTGGTCACCTGGTTCTGGGAGGTGATGGAGGAGTTTACGAATCAGGTAGGTTATACCCTTATCATATCTGTCTGAAACCAAACAAAATGAAGCTAACATCGGCAAACCGAAGTTTATATACCCATGCAGCTAAAACTTTATCATGAATACGTATTGGAAACCTGTAAAAACAATAGTATAGTGCTAAATCTCAGAATAGAAAAGAATATGATCAAAAGCAACGAAGCTTTAAATTCGTTTATAATATATGATGTAAAAACCGAAAAAAAATTTCTAATTTTTGACAAAAATCTGAATTTTGCATTTTTGACAAAATTTAAAACCTTTTTTTCACCAAAAAAGTTCAGTTTTTTGGCTGCCATAAAAAAAGTATAAGTCAGAATGAGGAATGTCATACCTCGTTGAGCTCGTTGTTTAATTTCCAATCAATTGGCATTCTAACCTGAAAATTTTTCATTTTTTGCCATTTTTCGAAAAAATGTGATGAAACCCCTACAAAAAATGAGAAAATTGGTCAAAATATAAATTTTCCTAAAAATGATCAGGATCGTTAGCACATTCAGCAAGCTGTTCAAAACAGTCGGTCTTTTAGCTGTACGCCTTAATTTCGCTGAGCTACGATGTAAAAACCGAAAAAAAATCGCATTTTTGACAAAAATCTGAATTTCATATTTTTGGCAAAAATGTAAACCATTTTTTTCACCAAAAAAGTTCGTTGTTTAATTTCCAATCGATTGGCATTCTACCTGAAAATTTTTAATTTTTTGCCATTTTTCGAAAAAATGTCATGAAACCCCTACAAAAAATGAGAAAATTGGTAAAAAAATAAATTTTCCTAAGAATGATCAGGATCGTTAGCATATTAAGCAAGCTGTTCAAAACAGTCGGTCTTTTAGCTGTACGCCTTAATTTCGCTGAGCTACGATGTAAAAACCGAAAAAAATTTCGCATTTTTGACAAAAATCTGAATTTCTTATTTTTGGCAAAAATGTAAACCTTTTTTTTCACCCAAAAAGTTCAGTTTTTTGGCGGCCATAACAAAAGTATAAGTCAGAATGAGGAATGTCATACCTCGTTGAGCTTGTTGTTTAATTTCCAATCGATTGGCATTCTAACCTGAAAATTTTTCGTTTTTTGCCATTTTTCGAAAAAATGTGATGAAACCCCTACAAAAAATGAGAAAATTGGTCAAAAAATAAATTTTCCTAAGAATGATGAGGATCGTTAGCATATTAAGCAAGCTGTTCAAAACAGTCGGTATTTTAGCTGTACGCCTTAATTTGGCTGAGCTACGATGTAAAAACCGAAAAAAAATTTCGAATTTTTGACAAAAATCTGAATTTCGTATTTTTGACAACAATTTTAACCTTTTTTTTCACCAAAATATGCCCTTATCATATCTGTCTGAAACCAAACAAAATGAAGCTTACATCGGCAAGCCGAAGTATATATCCCCATGCAGCTGAAACTATCATGAATATATATTAGAAACCTGTAAAAACTATAGTATAGTAGAGTATAATACATATAATATACATAGTTCGAAATTCTGAACTCATAAATAAGAGCTATATCTTAGAGTAGAAAAGAATGTGATCAAAAACAACTAAGCTTTAAATTCTTTTATATTACATTTAAATTAAAAAACTGACTTAAAACATATAACCCCCTGAAGGGTATTATATTATAAAACATAAATCCTTACTTATACTTATATCATTTTCAGGAGCGCTCTCTATTCCTACGCTTCGTCTGGGGTCGCACCCGTTTGCCGCGCACCATTGCCGACTTCCGCGGCCGTGACTTTGTGCTACAAGTGCTCGAGAAGAATCCGCCTGACCACTTCCTGCCCGAGAGCTATACCTGCTTCTTCCTGCTCAAGATGCCCCGCTACTCATGCAAGGTGAGAACGGACAATCGATTGCCATCTTTAACAACCCAAATAATGCCAAATTTCTTTGATTTTAGGCCGTGCTCCTGGAGAAGCTCAAGTATGCCATTCACTTCTGCAAGAGCATCGACACGGACGAGTATGCACGCGTGGCCATGGGCGAACCCACCGAGGCGACCGGCAGCGAGGACAACAGCGACCTGGAGTCGGTGGCCAGCCACGAGGGCTAAACCCACTGTCCATCCACGTTCATCCGGCCCACACCGATCCAACCTGCCTGACCTGAACAACTTGAAAACTGAATAACCGAATAACCGAACAAATGGAGCAAGAGTCAACCGAAGACCTTGGACACCTGGCGAATCTCCCAGCAGTTTATGATGATCCTCACACACTAGGACACACGAAGCCTTCAAGTTAAACCCACTCACGCGACACGTACACATATATACACGTATAAACATATATTTTAAATTAGCACTTGAATCTGAGCAAGACGACGAATCGAGCGAAGGAGACGGCATGTGAGCGAGAGAAAGAGAGAGAGAAACAGAGAGAGAGAGAGAGATAGACGGCGAGAGAGCGAAAGGAATAACGATCGGTCGATCGCGTAATGAAACCAAAAAGCAAAGCGTTAAAGTTATTTCCATATTATATATATACATATAAATTTAAATATAAATGTTAGTTGAAGTCCACTCATAATTATACACAAGGCTTAAACGTTAGACGCAATCCAATCCATTCCCATCCATCCCGAGTACGAACCCTGCCCCAAACAGTTAATAAGCTAATTGATATTGATAACCCTAAGGCCCTAAAGGGGCTGAATCCGTTTCTAATGATGATCTATTCAAAAGTTAGATGCGCCCTCAAAGCGCTGCAAAGAAAACTATCTGAACTAAACTGAAGCTAAATAAAATACTATGAAATGCAAGGAACCCTGTTTTCAATTAAGTAAAATCCACCCGGGGGCGCCAAAAAGTTGAGCATCGGTGAAATAAGAATCATGTTCCATGTTTATTTCTAAACTAAGAATTTAGCAGATCCCAAGAGGCGTAGAACGTGGCCAACAGTGGAGTCCTACTTCTCGTCGCTGGTGAAGTACAGGCCGGAGGCGAAGCCATCGCTAAAGGCGTTGTACTCCGCCTGTTCCTCCGACTGGGCACCTGCCTGTTCCCGGCTCACCTCCTCCGGCTGTCCCGAGGCGTTCTCCTGGCCGCCACTGCTGGTGGGCACACAAGACCGCGGAGCGGTGCGGCGCTTCAGCGGCGACTCATCGCTGTTCTCGTAGTCCTGACCGTCGTAGCGCTCGTCATCCTCCAGCTCATCCGGATGGACTGCAACTCCGGCTGCCTGAGCCGAGGCTTCGGTGGCGGAACCGGCCCCGCTGGTGTTGACCGCCGCATTACCCAAAACAGCCCCAACGACTCCTCGCAGCACCCGATAGAAGGCGTCGTGCACTTGACCCATCACCTGGCTGGCTGGACGCACTTGCTCTGGCTCGGGCTGCGTGTACTGGTGGTACTGGTAGGGCGGCTGGATCTGCTGGTTTCGCGCCCTGCTGCTGCTGCTGCTGCTATTGCTATTGCTGCTGTGCTTCACGGATCCTTCGGCTCGCCGCTGCTGCTCCTCGCAGGGACACTTGCGTCGCGGAGCTGAGCCGGATGCACCGGATGCAGGTGGAGGGGGTGGAGGCGGGGGATCGTCGCGGCAGCCACCGTCATCCTCGCCCGCCGACCGGCGTTGCTGCTCCCGATCATACTCGGTCATCGCCCGCTCCGAACGCTCCCGGCAAACGGAGCAGTCGGGATCCACGCCATAGGCGCCGATGTCGCTATTGACCGACGGATCGGGGTCCGATTCGCAGCTGCACTTGCCGCTGGCCAGTTCGCTGGACGACTTGGACCCCCGCCGCATCCGGTAAAAGATGAACAGCAGGGCCAACGTGGCGTATGTGGCCTTGGCCACCTGTAACAGTTTTGAAGGTTTTGTTATAGGTAGAGGATTTTTAACAATGGACCTGGTATTACATAAAAATAAAAAATGTTTCATTTTGTTTTCAAAAACGTTTGCGAACTGGAATTTGAACTTGTTTTAAACTATTATATTATCTTTAAGACTATAGATATTCGCAAAAAATTGTTGTGTATACAAACAAAGATTTTTAACAATGGACCTGGCATGTATAAAAAAAATATTTTTTAATACCTCTTTTTCGAAAACTTTTAGATTATGTAAAGGCTATGGTTTTCGCAGCGAATTGACTATTCTTCCTTAAGATTTGCTTTACTTTTTTCAAATACGAATTTAAATTTCAAGTTTAAAAATAATCACTAATTGCACTCCTATTCGATAATACTCCAGTATGTCATTCCTAATAGTCGTGGTGGTGATGGTAACTTAAGTTATTGATGATGATATGTATATATGATATGATATCAGACAAAAAAACAACAAATTCTACAGGAAAATATAGAAAATATTTTGATATATGTACTAATTTCTATAAAACCGGATCCCTAATGAAACCACATTTTATTCTTTCTTACGTTAGCGCGTCCGTTGATGGTTGTCCCATTGAAGTACTTCTTGAAGCCGTCGGCCATTGTTTGGGGCTCTGGGAGCTAAGAATCTGGGAACTGGGGGAACTAGGGATCTGGGATTGGGTCCGGGTGCTAGGTGTGTGTGTTCCGTCTCCGGGTAAGGGCCTGATTGAATGGGAATGACAAGAGACGAAGTCTATGGACAGGCCTACTCGAGTGAAAAATTGGGTTCGTTGTCAGGATTTGAAATTTATTAGACTCAACAGGGTACACGAGGATTGGGGACTGGCAAGGGCTTCAACTAGGGGACTGGAAACTGGGACCTGGGCCGTTAGCTAGAGGATTCTTGACGGATCATTGGGGTATGGCCTGGGGGCTGGGTTAGCGGGTAGTTGGTGGTATCGCCCCCTAGCCATGCAGCAATGCCTGCTGGCAGCCCTTGCAGTAGAGCTTGGACTCGCGACGCTTCGAGTTGCGCCGGTGCATCTTGACCAGGACATAGACCAGGCCCACCGAGGCCCAGGTGGCTTTGGCTACCTGTGGGATTCGGTTTCGGTGGGATCCTCTAGACTATCGGATGCAGGGTGACTTACATTGGCGCGACCGCGCATCGTTTGGCTATTGAAGGCGTCGTTAAACTTGAACTGTTCGGACATCTTTGGTTCGTTTGGGACCGGATTTCACGCAATTGGGGGCAAAAGATTAAAATTTGGATACGATATTCGAGCTACACTTTTTACCGGATTTCGGATTGTGCTTGGAATACAAATTTACACTCACTAAACTCTTGACAAAGCCAACTTAAAATTTAGGTCCCCCTGTTTGTGTTTATAAATTCTATTTACTTGCCCGGTCTTAAGACTAATGTATCCTATTTTTACCATAACATACTACAATTCTATAACGAAACGTTGGGACTTAACAATCGATTGCTTATTGAAGATATTAATATGTTTTACAGAAGTTAAAAATCGCAAGCGGTGATATCAATTGCTTTAAGACTAGAAGAATTTTTTGATATCGTTATGACTATGAACATCCCACGACAACTTTTATTTATCTAGAAGAAAAGTTATTAAAAGAGTGGGCCTTTGAAATTAATGTCATTCCCCGAAAACTCCCTTCACCACATTTCTTATACGTACCCCCATTCTCAATTCGGTTGTGCTACAAAGCAGACCTTAAGTAAGAACAGAAAATAAAATATTTTTATAAAAAGTGGGTAAACAATTTTTTTTCTTTAAGATACAAAAAGAAAACGAAGAAAACAACACAAAAACGTAAAAGAATCATCCAACAAAACGCAGAAAACACAAAAATTAAGTGAGTGATATGTGCCATACTACATCTAAAACTGAAAATATTTTGTTGTATTTTTATTATCAGTCTCTCGTCTTTACAGTGCAACTCACAATGGTTGTAGTATATCATCGCTGATTTTTCCACGTGCTTCCTACCGAACCAGCCGATAACATCAGACTGTTCAACTTTTACATCTGCCTTGATCGATCTCAAACAAAGTTCTATAACGCCGATCAGTGGCCTCGTCCGTGGTTCTAGTTAGCTGGGGAACTCATCTAAGCTCATCGCACGTTATGCATCTTTTGTCGTCTGAAGGGAAACGCTGGACCTTCAAAATATGCGGCGTATTTTGAAGGACTAGCGTTATCCTTCAGATTCTGAAGGATGGTCTTTGTCTCTATCTAAGGCAACTAATTTCTTGGAATTTTTTAAAAACTTACAAATAAAAGAACAGTTCGAACAAATGTGGTGGTAAGGAATGGGGAAATGGGATACTGGACTGGAGAAATGAAGACTGCCCTTATTCACCGAGATAAGCCACCGTGCATTACACTAAAAGACTTGATCAAACATCAGCAGTAAAAAAAAATTGTATATATTAAAAATAATTAACAACAGTGAGAACTGAAACACGCTCTAAAAACGTAATTTTTAACCCGAGCTAAAGGCCCACGGCGCCATAACCTAATATCCTAGCTCACTTGTAGTTTAAATTATTTGCTTGCACTTCATAAGTAAGCAATTCACATTTTATATTGCTCTCTTAATCAATTATTTTGATTCATGCCACACGCAATTCTATTTCTACGTCATCAGTCGTACAAACTGCACAAATTAAAGTTATTCCCATAATAAATAACGACTTGCAACTAATTTAAATGGTATTCAAATGTACCTACTTATTTTGAAACACGGTACTGCCCGGGTAAGAAGGTATACTAGACTACTAGACTAGCTAAAGGGACTTTTATAGGTGTTCTGAAAAGCTTGAAAAGGAACCCTTACCGAATGTGGTAACCATTTTGTTAGAGGTAACTATTAGAAATCAACTTGAATTCTTAAAAATATAAAACCTCGAATACTTCAGAACAAAAGAAAACAACCGAGTTCCAACAGATGAGAATATTATGAATTGGGGGCTAGGTAGCAATATATCGAGCTCATAGGCTTGGAAACCGCTCAAGCAGACCTCTGATTGAAATCTTGTTTGCATTCGCATGATCGGAAACAGTCGGAAGGTGAGGCACATCAGTCAACCCATCTCGGCCAGAATCGCGCCTCGCATGTCACCTGGCTTGGTGACCCAACACCAAACTGTCAATTAATGTGGCAAGATTATAGCCCGGCCAGGGATTTCGATATGGAAATAAGCAGTGGGCGGGTATTTTGCGCTTGACCCATAATTTCCACACCCACTAATGGTCTCGATCCAATATCAAGTCATTTGCATGCCGGGAGTCGCGTATAAAAGGAGTTTCGAATGGGTTGCGGATTCCACAGTATCGTCTCGGAAATGAAGTTTCATCTGCTGCTGATCGGTGTCGCCATATCTTTGGGACCGCTGCCCGGTTCGGAGGCAGGGGTAGGTCCTCAAACCCCAGTCGAATCGATCGCCTCACGGACACCTTTGCTATCCTCTTCCAGGTGACGGAGGAGCAGATGTGGTCCGCCGGCAACCTGATGCGCGACGTCTGCCTGCCCAAGTATCCCAAGGTCAGCAAGGAGATCGCCGACAACATCCGCAACGGGAATATACCCAATAGCAAGGACAGCAACTGCTACATCAATTGCATCCTCGAAATGATGCAGTCGGTAAGTACAGACAGTCTAAAGTCACTAGAGCAGTCCCCTGAAAAACTTTCTTTTTTATTTAATTTAATTTAAAGAAAATAGTTTAAAAAATTTGGAAAATTACGTTTTTCTTTCATATATTTAAAAAAAAACTCTTATTTCTAATTGGCCGAAAATATAATTTTTTAAAACACACATCTCTTAACTTTCTAGAAAACATGTTCATTTCGAAAGATACCATTTTCCATTTTTATGAGTTTTATGAAAATTATAACATCGAGGAAAAAAGTTTTAACATATAGCTATTATATATAATTGTAATAGTTAATCATTTAAACATTACATTAAAATACATTCAATCATTCAATTATTTGAAAAATAAGATATAATATATAATATTGCACATTAGAGTGCTGGGTAACAAAGACGTTCGACCAAACCCTTCTAAATTTTAATTAAGCTATAATATACGTATTTTTATTTAATAGCAATACAATTAAGCAAATTAGGCTTGCTGGCTACTACATATATCAGCTCTATAGATATCGTCATTCGATCCGACTGTTGTTATATCGACAACCATATCGATAGTACTAACTTATTAAAACCCAACACCTGCTCGATTAACTTTCTGATCTGATCCCGCTTAGATCAAGAAGGGCAAGTTCCAGCTGGAGCCGACCCTCAAGCAGGTGGACATCATGCTGCCGGACAGCTACAAGGACGAGTACCGCAAGGGGATCCACCTGTGTAGAGACTCCACGGTGGGCCTCAAAAACGCACCCAACTGCGATCCCGCCCACGCCTTGCTCTCCTGCCTGAAGAACAACATCAAGGTGTTCGTGTTTCCCTAGGAATCCGCATCCGCGACAGATAAATCAGATCAAAATATCCATTGAGCACAGAACCCCTACCCCTACCCTCGACCAGATCAATAAAGGTTTCGCCGGAGGGCTACGTAAATTGTGGTGCATTCTGATTGGGCTGCAATGGGTTGTGGTTGTGGTGTTGGAACTGGTTGGGCTTGCATGATCCGCCCCAGCAATGTCATGGCTATCGCCGGAAGATCTACAACCGGGGGCGATTGGCATGTACCGGATGTGCCGGACACGATTGCGATGGGTATAAAATGTCCAGCGGGCATCGCTGGCCGTCCACTAACCACAAGAGAGGCGAAAATGATGCAGAGCAACCGGATGACGATGACAAACCTCCTCCTGATGGCACTGGCCAGCGCTGTAGTGCTAATGGGATCGCCGGCGGCGGCGGAGGAGGAAGAGGTCTCCATGACCGTGGACGAGGTGGTGGAGCTAATAGAACCCTTTGGCGACGGCTGCACCCCGAAACCGTTGAGGGGTAAGCCCATTTCATCCTTCATATACCACTTATCTTAGCCACATTTTTGCAATCCACAGAGCACATCGTCGAGATGGTGCTGAACAAGGAGGACGCCAAGCACGAGACCAAGTGCTTCCGCCACTGCATGCTGGAGCAGTTTGAGCTGATGCCCGAGGGACAGTTGCAGTTCAACGAGGACAAGACCGTCGAGATGATCAACATGATGTTCCCGGACCGCGAGGAGGATGGCCGTCGCATCATCAAGACCTGCAACGAAGAGAAGAAGGCGGAGAAGGACAAGTGAGTGGGCCAAGGGTGTTTTAAAGTCTGGGTTAACTCACTCCGAAAGACGGATGATGTTTATTTCTAGAGTTTGTTAAGGATATAATCTGCGATGTTTCAGAAATCTCGGATGATTTTAGGGACAGTTGAGTTGAGGAATCACAGAATCTAAGTTATTTTTTTTGTGTTTCGGAGTAAATTTGCTCTGATTTTAGGATTTTCATTTTTTAAAACATATTAATTGTATAATCTTACTCTAGAAAATCCCCAAATTTGTTTCCTATTATTTCTAGAGTTTTTAAGGACATATTTGAGCTGCACAGAAATCTCAGGGTTTACAAACTGCATAGATTTGTATGTGTTTCGGATAAAATTTGGCCTGACTTTAGGATCCTTACTTTTCAAAACATATCACTTGTATAATCTTTTTAAAGAAAATTCCCACGTATTTTTTCTATTATTTCTAGAGATTTTTAAGGATATAATTTGGTCTGCACAGAAATCTCAGACGGTTCCCCGGCTTACAGAATCCATAGATAAAATTTGATCTGATTTTAGTACATTTTTTATATCGTCGGGATTTGCTTTAGGGGACAACTAGGATGGAGGAGATTTTTGTGACACCCCAAAATATATCCTTTTATTATTATTAGGTATATTAAACTAATGTTTCTTTGTATATCCCTGTTCTTAGGTGCGAGGCTGCCCACGGCATCGCCATGTGCATGCTCCGCGAGATGCGCTCCTCCGGCTTCAAGATTCCCGAAATCAAGGAATGAGGTCTCTGAGCTGACCTTCTATTGCCTGTTCTTCATCATTTTTTTTTTGTGTGTTAGTTCAGTTTAAATTAATTAGAAACAGCTCGAGAATTTGGGGTGGTTCCCAACACAATTAAAAAGCGCCCAACCAACGAAATGCTGAATATTTATTGGGTGGGATGGGAGTAAGTGTAGCTACACATCAAATTAGGCATGCCACTTTGAATATAATGAACCCTAGCAGAGGCAGAGAAGATTATAATTAAAGTCGAAACTATAAAGTATACCCAACCCTATAGACACTCGATAAAATAGTCCACCATTATAAAACTGGTTTGCAAATCACTAGAATATAAATTAATTTTCGTATTTATACATTTTATTAAAATCATTTTGAAACCGAAAACCTATGTTTAGACCTAAAAGATTTTGTTATAACTACGCCATTTTTGGAATCATTGTAATAAATAATGTGGCCAAAATATAAGGGTGAATGGTAGCTGTTTTAGGTACTCTGATAGAAAAACGGAATATTAACAATAAATATAAATAATTTCAAACTTTGGTATTTGGAAACAGTTTTATACACAAAAATTTAAAAACGTGTTCTTTTAAACACTGTGTAAGTACGAAAGTTCTTAGGTTTCGAAAACTTTAAAAACCTCAAAATAAATATTTAAAAATTTATTTATTATTTAAATAGAAACACTTTAGCCAACTTGCGCTCATATCGGATTGGACTTCAAGAAGCCTATGTCTTTAAATATGAAATATTTGGATTTACTACGTTTTTGTATCAGTGTACATCAACAGATTTTCACCAGAGCATCTTATACGTTGTAACGAATAGTATGGCCCATATACTTGGAGTATGGCTAACATTTCCTCACTTTAGTTACATTTTAGTAGTTAAATTTTAGTAGACGATAATCAGATGGCTCTACCAGACCAGTTTCACGTTGTTGCGCTCCAACTGGCGACCGATGCACTGGTTGAAGAAGTGGGCGTTCTCGCAGGCGTTCTTGGAGGAGACGCCGCGGTTGCAGGCCGAGGCCATGCTGCTGCTGACGGCGATGGCCACCTTGTTGTCCTGGGTCACCAGGCTGGTCAGCTTCTCCACCTGACCAATGTTCAGCTTGTTGTTGTCGTCCATCTGGGGATTGTAATGGATGGAAATTAGAGAGGGGTCAAGCCCATCTTCCCTACATCTGCCCGCGATTCCACTCACCAGTTTGATCTTCTTGAGCACGCACTCCGAAAGGCACTTCTCTTTCTCGCTGGGATTGGACACCTTCATAAGCGGCCGCTGATCCCTGGGAAGATTGAGCTTCTCGACGCACTCCCTCCTGGCCGCGCTGATCATCTCCTGAACCTGCGGCAAGTTTCGATCGATCACCGTCCAGATGGGCTCTGATCCGGTTTTGGGCAGCAGCTTGGTGAGATCGAAGGCTTGGTTCTGGCTCTGGATGCAGTGCATCTGCAGGAGCACTCCCATCACGATCGTTATCAGCGGAATGGCGGATGGGTTCATCTTTGCACCGGCTTGTTCTTTGGGTTTTGACTTGATTGGGTTCTTGGTTTCTTGGCTTATATAGTTGCCCATCGCCCGAAACATATTCTTCGGCACATGTCTTTTCTCCGCTTGATTTTGCTGATGACAGCGATTTTTCCATTGTCAAGTCCATTATTCTCAGTGTCGCCCCCCCAAGTCACGCTCCAAAGACGATCTTTCACTTCGCCAACACTACCCAGCAAATGTGTCAGTTTTTAGGTAATGGAAATCGCATTAATGTATGTAGATATTTAATCTGACAACATATAGAAAAACTCTCAAGGAAATGGTCTTTGCACACGAAAGTTTATAAGGTATATTTATTATTGATCACTATGGTCACTGCTTTGCAAAAGTATTTAAAAAAAATAAATTTTGTAAGTAGTGATTATGATCCAAAGCGCCCTTTCATTTCCCTAGGAATAAACAAGAAGTTAAAATTTAAAAAACTTTTGAGGCTCTATTTCAAGATATTGAAAATTTCTTTTTTAAAGAACGCTCTATTGGCATGCACCATAATTAATATCTATACCTTAAAGTCTGATTGTTTTAAAAACACATCAGTTATATTCCTTATTTTTAGTTTAGATTCAAATTTATATTTTATTCATGAAATAAAATTACAAAATGTGTACATGAAAAATATTATATTGTATTCTTATTAAATTTAATGAAAGACGGAAATCATTTTAATTAAACTCGATTACAAGGGAAAACACATATTAAACTATGCCTTTGATACATATATATAATTCTCAAAGTGTTCGGTTATTATTTGAATTAAGGCAATTTCGTACTTGTTAATATCGAAAACTAGTAAACCTTCTTCAACCTTATAGCACTAGAAAATAGACATGCAACATGCTTGCACGATATTGGAAATAGTCCAATTTTAGCAGTTCGATTGCACAGTATAGATTGCGTGCCCTGAAACTTCCACTCGGTGGAAATAGCAAATAGAGTGTCCAATATACAGAATATACCAGTGAATTATCAGACAAACTGGGGAAACAGACAGGCAACAGATCAAGGGTACATTATGGGCTAAACGGCCAATTTGCCTGGCTGAACTCAGTGCGGGATCGGGAATCCATATAATAATATAATAGCTGCATGGCCACGCCAGTCACAATCACTCATCTCACCCAGAGCTGTTGATCGATTTAATTACAAGCGGTACTTTGCATTTTGCATTTTGCAATTTCATTTCCATAGCTATTCCCAATTCCAGTGATTTCATGCCAGTCACCAATTAAGCAGGTAAGTGGAGATCGGTGGGCCATCTCATCTCGCAGCTCGAGCGGAGTGTCACTTGTTCACACGATGCCCAGTCGAGGGCATCTCCGGCGGATCCCGTCCCATCCCGTCCAGCGCCGCGTAGTGGAGTGGTGTCATGTGCTGCCCATGTAGTTCATAATTGCGGGTAATTGCCGGAGCTGCTTGAGACGCGGCTGCCGGAGATTAGCGATTGATCCGATCTGCCAAGTCAATCACGGGACCCGGCATTTGGGTGTTGCTCCTATAAAACGCCGGTGTCGCCAGCCATTCGCATCCAAGTCAGAGTTCGTACGTCGCGCAATTCAATCGCAAATCGAAATGTCGCGTCTGGTCAACAAATCCGTCCTGGTCCTCCTGGGCCTGGTGTGCCTGCTGGGAGCCGCCTCTTCCAAGCCGCACGAGGAGCTGACCAAGGACCATGTCACCGAGCTGGCCAACGAGTGCAAGGCTGAGACGGGCGCCAGCGATGGTGGGTAGTCCAGATGGGGGAAGCCAGGATTATTAGGACCCGGAGGATCCCAAAAAATATATGAAGAAATTGATTTATTAATAGTCTCCTGGAATTTTCTAAAAACATCGTAGGGTACCAAAGTGGATATCCAATTATTAGGACTTTAAGGACTTCGCATATATATATATATATATATATATTGTAGAAAACACTTGTTTAATACCAGGGTATTGGTATCCTAAACATATTTATAAACAGATTTTGAAATCGTCTTAATGTTAACAAAACTCACATATCCATTACAGAGGATGTGAAACAGATGATGGACCACGAGGGAGCCGAGGGACACGAGGGCAAGTGCCTGCGCGCCTGCGTGATGAAGAAGTTCCAGATTGTGAGTGCTGCTCCAGTGATCCAGCGATGTTTGGCGGTGACCATCTTCTCCTTTTGCAGATGGATGAGTCCGGCAAGCTGAACAAGGAGCACGCCGTGGAGATGATCAAGGCCATGAGCAAGCACGATGCGGAGAAGGAGGACGCCCCCGCCGAGGTGGTGGACAAGTGCGAGGCCATCGAGGCACCCGAGGATCAGTGAGTAGTTTGCCCCGCCTCCTATTCGGCTCACAAGCCTCCACAATCCCCATATCATTTTCAGTTGCGACGCTGCCGTCGCTTATGAATCCTGCCTGTACGAGCAAATGAAGGAGCACGGACTTGAGCTGGAGGAACACTGAAAACCGATTTGAGGCCCATCCTGAACCCGTTACTGAATCACAAGCGCCCCCTCTGAAATATAACCATCTATTTTTTTTATATGTAAACCTATGACTAGTCTTTAAGTAACTGATAAAATGAACTGCAGAAGATAATGGTTATTGGATTGTGGCAAAAGTGAGTTGGGAAGGGAATATTTTGGATGGCCCTTCTTGGGCAAAAGAAAACATTAGCATTACCATGCTAACTATTCGGAATTATAAAGGTATAAGTGTTTTTTATTTTCCTCGCGGTCCTGAAAACATACGGAACACTTGCTCAATTTCGTCCTCAGCTTACAATCTTTATTTTAAATATAAGTTATATAATTACTTGTATATAATATCCCAATCTGGGGCGTACTTAAAATTTCTTACATACTACGAATTACTACAGAACTTTCTTCGTATCTGGTCTTTTCCAGCTGTAATCTTGCTGAGAAGTTCCGTAGCTGGCATGCATGCAAAGTCGTTCCTAAATCTGTAAACATATTGACGACCTAACACTTTTCCTCCTAGTTCCTTTCTAACTCTGCCGACTTTATGCAATCTGTCGACCAATATAGCTTATTGCTTTAACCTACATGTATGTGTATAGTAAGTGGACCGATCTCGGGGGAATTCGCATCGAGAAGACGGCAGTTACGGGTGTGAATGCAAGCCGTCTGCGTCTGCGCCAGGCGAATTCGGAGGAGCCTCGGAGAAAGGTCATTAATCCTATTAGTTAGTAGCTAGATGCAATACGCAGGTTGCATAGGCGATCCACGATGATGTTGATCTCTTCGCTTACACGAAACACGCAACAGCACAAACAGCCATCAAAAGAACGCGAATTGCAGATGAAACACAGAGGTAAAATGATGGTTAAAAAAAAAAGTATATATGTAAGATATCTCGAAAATATATGTAAAACTGAAGGTGGAACTGTGTCTGGCTGCTAGGGATGCACATGCAGTCGATCGCTCGCCGCCGTTTGATATCCTAGCTTACGTGTATGTTACAAATGTTTCTCCTTGCACCTGCAGTTTCGTGTTTGTTTTGTTTTGTTTTGCTTAGGCAGGCTGGCAGTTTGTATTTTCCCTTTATATATTGTGCCTGCCACCAGTGGTGGCCCCGCTCCGCGTCCGTCAGCGGAGCCGAAGCGGGTTGCGGCGACTGCGCCCGTCTTAGAGGAAGTAATCCGCCTGGGGCTTCTTCGAGGGTATTCCGCGACTCTCCTGCGGAGCCGCCTCGAAGATGACAAAGTCGCGGTGCAGGTACTCGTTCAGCTCCAAGATGGCAGCCACATTGCCGCAGCTGCAAGTGAATAAGATAGTGACTAAATGAATTCGATCGGTTTGCATGCAGTTAACTCACCGATAGCAGTAGTTGGGCGCCGACCAGACGGTGAGGACAGTCTCGTTGAAGTGCCACTTAAAGCCCTCCATCACCAGCTGGTGCGCACGGCAAATCATGTCGATCTCGTTGGTGCGATTAAACTGGGAGACCACGTCCGAGCCAAAGAGGTAGCCAGCGCCGCGCGGCGACACGCCCCAGCCGGTCTGGTCCTCCGGATCGCTCCACAGCAGATCGCACATGGGCCCGTCGTGCGGCACCTCCTGCTTGCGATCGATGCTGCGGATCTGGTCCAGGTACTGGATGGACGGCGACAGGCCGCCGTGCACGCAGAATATCTTGCCGTCGATGATCGCAGACAGGCTGAGGTAGTCGAAGATCTCTGTGCAGTAGCGCCACACGGCCGTCGAGCCGTATTTGCGCAGGCACTCGTCATAGAAGCCGTACACCTGGGTGATCTGGCGAGACTCATGGTTGCCGCGGATCAGTGTGATGCGGTCCGGATAGCGCACCTTCAGCGCCAGGAGCAGCAGGAACGTCTCCACGCTGTAGTAGCCGCGGTCCACAAAGTCACCCATAAACAGGTAGTTCTTCTCGGGGACATCACCGCCAACCTTGAACAGCTCCTTCAGGTCGTAGAACTGACCGTGGATGTCGCCGCACACGGTCACCGGTGAGTCCACCCGCTGCACATTGCCCTCCTCCACAAGGATCTCGCGCGCCTTGGCGCACAGGGCCTTAACCTCGTTCTCCTTGATGATCTCGCAGCGTTTTAGCTGCTCGATCTGGCGGTCAAGGTCACTGTAGTCGGACATCTTCACCCGGAGGATGGCGGCAGCCGAGGCGACGGGATAACGGTGAATCGGACTGCTGTCGTTGACGGGGCGGAGGGACAGCGTCTTATGTCGTTCACCGGGCTGGAGTGGGTGGTTCGCAGGGCGCAGCAGAGTACCAAGAGGGAGAGATCAATATAAAAGGCACAATGAATATCCGCTTGTATCGATTGCTAAAGCAAAGTGTGGTACATTTTGTTAATGATCTCCATAGAACATTTTGTAAAAAATACCCCGTCTTTGACACTTGTTGAAGAACTTACAAACTTTAAGAAGTAACTTCTGCGATACTTATAGGAGGTACGATGGGAAAACGACAAAAATATTGTTATCATTAAGGTATTTAACAGAGACTAGGCTATGTCGAAGTAGACTATATATATAGTTATTCCCAGTTTATGATGCTTTTTAGAAATTAACCATATGGATTTGTATTTTATAGAATATTGATCACATATTTCGTGACCGCGAGTAGGGTATTCCAAAGTTTCAAACGGGAACATTTCTAGAGAATTAACCACTTGAGCTTGGTTTTTGTAATCTGACCGGTTGAAGTCTTCGCAAGATATATATGCAGTGTATGTACGATGTAGGGTATCCCTTTGTCGACTATAGCGATATTTTTTGTTTGTGTTTCGGTTTTTGCATGCGCTGTGCGTGCGTCTGTGTGCGTCGGCTTTGTGCGGGTCTTGTGTGTGTGTGGCTTGTCGCTGGCCTTTTGCCGCGCGCGATTTCCACCGTCTGCCGTGGTTTTCCCGGCTTTCCCGACCGTTTCCGCGGAAACGCTACTTACTCAGCGCAATGCTTGGGCTCGCTCGACAATCCTTTGGCTGGTGGCTCGGTTCTCGTGCTCGCGGTTCCGTAAAAAAAATGAAAACTCAATTTTTTTATGCCGTGCCAGTAGTCACATTCGATTGTCTTGATGTTTTTACGGCATGTATTCGATAGAATCGATAGCATCGTTCTTTAACCATTTTTAGCTAACTATCGATATTCGATAGTTACACACATAATATCGATTTAAAAACTGTGATTTGGAATATTTTCATCGCGTTTATAGAATTTAAAGGAGTTTACTGTTATTAAGAAAGTGCAGCATACCGAAAAAGCTAAATTTTTCATATAAAATCACCGGGAAACACCCCTGGCCGGAAAAGTGAAAGTGCCACGGTGTTGCCAGACCACGCCAAAATAATTTCATGTTTTTGGGAAAGACGATTTTGGTTGTTGCCTATCGATATCGCTCCACTGGGGGCTTTTATAAAATGCCGCCCCAACCTCCGCCCCCAAACCATTTAAACACAATTGTGAAATCAAAACACTACGCACTCGTGAACCATGTCCACCTTTGGAGCTGATGTGGACCAGGTTTGGCCCGCGGTCACCGGGGATTCTCTGCCGCTGACCGATTTCGGACGCAAATTGCTGAAGGATTGCCGCCAGGTGAAGAAGCCCGTTGCTGGAGACAATGACTTGAAAAATATGATGGCCAAATCCGAGGAGTTTCCTCTGGAGGTGTGTGGTACTGGCAGTCAATCCAGGTGGTCGCTATTTCAAGCTTTCTTTCCGCATCCTCCAGTTTGGTGTGCAAAGTGTCCGGGTGAAGAGGCAATCTCCTCTGCGGCTGGCCAGGATCAACGAGGAGGTGGCCTCCGCCTATCCGGTGATACACGAACGCACCCTGGGTCTTTATCTGCAGTATCTGGAGCACAAGTGCCATTGGGGTGAGTAGCCCTCCTCCTCCTAAATCATCTCAAACTGATGCATTTCCCACTTCTGGATGCAGGGAACTCTGTGGAGAAGCCCATATACAGGCCACTCTCCCTCTGTGGATTTGTGCAGCGCCTCCTGGAGAAGCGCTGCGCCAGCTTCTTTGCCCGCAACGACAAGTTCCTGCTGCTGAGCGGTGAGACGGGGGCCAGTGGCTTTGAATCAGTAGGCACGCCGGAGGAGAAGGCACCCCTGGTGCTGGCCGACGTTCTAAGCTACGACGACATTAAGTTGTCCGCCCTGCTCTCCGTGAGCTCACACACGGAGTTCGTCAACGAGGGCGAGCGGACCAACTGCGGTCACGTTGACTTGAACACCAAGACGCTGGAGCGGACAGGCGTTATCGTGGGCATGATTGGAGCCCGCCTGTCGCGGCGAAATCTAATGGAGTTCCAGGACATTGTCATTGCACGCCAGCAGAATACGCGGGAAAACGGCTATGGAATGGCCTTGGATGAGTCGTCTGGAACGCGAAAAGAGGACTACCGGCGCCTGTGGCGCGGATTCTATGCCACGCGGGATCTCATCCACGGCGAGGCTGTCATTGACAACAGACGCTTCGGACCCTCGAGGAACAAGCAGGACGTCTTTGACAACCTGGTGATGAAGCGGCGCTACGCCATCAGCTTCGACATGCTGCTGCTGGAGGCGCAGGCGAGGGCTCAGCGCGCCAAGAAGTTGGTCTACATCCATGTGGTGGGCTTCGGCCTGGGCGTGTGGAAAGCGGCTGCTCAGCAGGAGCGCATCTTCCTGGAGACCTTCGAGCAGCGCATGCGCACGCTGGGCAACAAGCTCAATCATGTGGGCCTCGTGCACTTCTCCTGGTTTTCGATCACCGACTGCGGCGGTCTGCGCAACGGATCGCTGGTGGAGATCCCCGGCCATCCAAAGGACGGCATCAGGGTGCTCATTTCCAAGCGCAATCCCGCACGAAAGTTGACTGACCCTGAGCACGCCGGCATGCTGCTGGTGGTGTCCTATGCCTGGGACGGCAACGCGCTGCCCGGCAACGAGTTCTGGATGGTGAGTAGCTTAGCAATATTAACAAAAGTCATTTTAATGATTCTAACGAAGTGGCATTTATCATTTACACTTACCGAGTAAAAGGGCAGCAATAGAAGTTGGTATTATTACAATGTCCGAAATAAGAGGTCTTTCCCATAGCATACCTTACTGAACTTAAAAAAGATAAATACATTTTTTATCTTAGGACATATTATGTAAAATTATCATACCAAGCCTTAGCCACAAAACTAAGATAAGGACCGACCTATCTGAAGAATGGTTTTCAAAGAAGCTAAAGCCTTGTTAAATTTATGCGGTTTTTTGGTTTTTGTATGTATATCTTATTATCTTTATGAAAGCTCTTTATAATGAAAGCAATCACTATCAGCTTAAACATTAGTTCGCTTGTAATCTTATTTTAGTTTTGTATACGTGCTAATTGCAAACAGAAATAGAGTTAAACAACAATTCCGTAATCATTTACTCACTTATCAGTTGATCAGAGTTTAACCTTTGGGGAAAGTGACTTGACATTTAGCACAATAGCTATAAGGCAGCATCAATCAAATCCGAACTTTACATTCTTTCTTTTTGAACTGATTGAAAGCTGATTGTAATTAAAATAAAAGTAATAATCTTTCACAATATGCAATAAAATGTCAGTAATAATACGTGCATTCTCCCTTTACTAAAACTTTTTTGAACATTTTTTCGTTTCAGAAAATGCTCAAGTCCACAGGCGACTCCTCGACAGCCTGCTCCACGTTGGTGGCCGAGCTGCACAATCCATACATCAACACTGTTTTCTGCAACGGGGACAACCTGCACATCGCCTCCCCGGAGCTCGGCGTGCTCCACATCGCGGAATATGCCAAACGGGTGATTCGGAGCGAGAGTGACGGCTGACGAGATATGGGAATCTGCCGACTATCTAATCTTATCTTATCCTATACGCGCAGCTACTGTTTTATTCCACACTTGCTGTAGGTCAATTCCATGACCTTTTGACCGAAGCATGACAATTCCTTGAGAAGAACTGGGATCATAATATGAATTTAAACAAATTTGATAATTTTGAATAGGGAATGCAAAGTAAAACTTTTATCTTTTGAAAGGAGCTAGAAACCATTGCAAGAATATACGAAAATGCCTTGGAAAAACTCAAAACAGAGTAATAGAATGAGAATATTGGTTCAACCATCTTTATGTTTGTAAAAAGTGTAAATACATGTGTGTAAATGCAATCCCCAGTGTCTTTCGTGACCTTCGTGATGTTCAGAGCGTGTAGCCCAGCTTGGTGACCCATCCCAAGCCTTCGACCGTCGTCGTCTTGGGCTTGTACTCGCAGCCCACCCAGTCCTGGTAGCCGAACTCCTGGAGGGCCTTGAAAACGTAGCCGTAGTCCAGCTCCCCGGAAACGTCTGGCTCGTGGCGATGCGGCACCTGAGCGATCTGGAAGTGACCGATGAGCGACTTGTACTCCTCGAGCGTCTTGGACACGTTGCCATGCAGGTGCTGCAGGTGGTAGAGATCGGCCAGCAGCCGGATGTTGTCGGCACCCACATCGGCCAGCACTCCGGCGGCCTTGGCGTACGAGTTCATATAGTAGCCGGGCACGGCGTACTTGTTAATTGGCTCAATAACGCCAATAATCTTGCTCGCCCTGAGGCTATCGGAGGCGATCTTCAGATTGGAGGTGTACGTCCTCGTGTAGTCGCTCTCCTGGCCGCCCTTGAAGAGTCCGGCGGTGAGATGGATCTTGCCGCAGTTCACCTGGCGGGCAAACTCAATGGTGGCGTCCAGCTGGCTGCGGAAGAGCTGCTCCGATCCGGGCACACTGGTGGAGCCGAAGCGCAGCTGGTCGTTGGTCTTGTCGAAGGCCAGATTCACCAGGCTGACCACCACGCCAGTCTCCTTGACGGCGGCCACCACGGCGCCCGTCTCGCCCTCCGGATAGGGGATCTCCACGGCCCGGAATCCGCTCTGGTGGGCCAGCCTGATCCGCTCCGCGATCGTTGCCGCTCGCTCCGTGAACAAAAAGTTCAGATTCGCCGCAAACTTGAGTGCCATTTCACGGGTTTTGCGTATGCGTCCCCTAATCTCCGCCTGCGTTCACGCTTGGTAAACAACTGGGGAGCGATTGCGAATACCCGTTTTTTATATTATATCTAGGGGGCTGTATTACGCAACCGTTTGTTGTCAGGCAAAAGGTTACTGCTGTGAAACCAATAAGTTTGTCGTTTGAAAAATGATAACATGATTATAATGCAATAATTTTAGTTCTTGAGCATAATACATCATAATAATTTAGAGGTATATTTTGTATATACTGCTTATTGGAAGCATTTTAAATATTAAATATATTATAAATTGCCTAATGTTTATTGATTTGTTAACTGAATTACTAGCATTTTTTTAAACAACTATTTAATTTCATGTTTTTTCAACTTTAGTATTTGTTGGCTTCATTTCAAATCCATTAATAAATAAATAAAACACCACAATAATAACTATTTTTCTAGCGCCATCTGTTGAACGCTTTTAGAAGACTTACAGTGCAAATTTTGTGCAGAAAAATATTTAAATAAATTTATCGTTATTTATTATAGCTATAAATATGATGTTGATGATTTAAAATTAATAGAACCATAAATAATAAATGACTGCACAAATGTATTGTATTAATTAAATATTTAAATATAAATATTTAAATATAAAATATTTAAAATAAAACTATAAGGAACATTTATTTGTTGACAAATTTTCGCATTTTTCGAAATGGCATTTTAAATTGCCAATGGATTGGAAATTAAAACGAGCTCAACGGAGTATTACATTACTCATTACAATGACCAACCGAGCGCTGAGGGAATCAAAAAATTACAAATAGGGATAATTTGCCTTCTTTTAGGTAATTAATTCACCCATTCGAAAACAGCTTTAAAAATTCAGATTCCAAAAGGCTTAATTTTATATTATAGAATTTACAAAACCTAATTTAGCTGCTTATGTAACAAGGACAAGATTCTGAACATAAAAAAAGAGATACTGGTAATTTAGCTGTGCTTTGAGAAGGGCCTCCTAACGAAGGGCGACCGGAAGTTAGAATTCGTTTACAACTGTTCGTTTACAACCTTCGAGGTCCAGCAGGCAACGTCACATCTACTGGTGGCCACTGCTACATCGGCGACCTTGTCGAGATCGGGTTTTCTGATCAATAAACGAACGCCACAATGGAGTCGCACTTCGGCCATGATCTGCTCATTGGTGAGATTGTCCATAGCTAGAACATTGGCCAGATCCGCAGAAAGACCATCTATTACCATCGGACTCGCTCGATTCGTCAGACTCGCAGGTTCAGATGGGTAATTGTTGTTTGGACATGGGGTCCATCCTGCCAGTGAGAGTTCCTCGTCCTCCTTCGCCTCCTGTGCGACCTCCATCTCGCTGGCATCGTGACTGAAAATTTGGGACCTGTAGATCTCAATGAGTTCCTCATCCCCCTCGCTTTCCAAGGGCTTCCTGATCGTCTTCGGTAGCTTGGATTCCTCCTCAACTGTGGTATCAATGCCCTTATAATTATTGGTAATATCGTTGTTATCCATACACTGGGTACTGTCTATGTCTATCTGTTTATCCATGTTAGAAATATTGTCCTTGTTATTGTTATCGTTGTTATTGTTATCGTTATCTTTGGACTGAGTATTGTCAATGAGTTCCTCATCCCCCTCGATTTTCAAGGGCTTCCAGATCGTCTTGTTATCGTTGTTATTGTTATCGTATGTATCTACGACATTGTCATCTATGGACATATGGGAAAGTTTAGCTATATTACCCAGTTTAGCACTCAACCCGTCATTGTCCAGCTGCAGCTTTTGGATTCTCTCCCTAATGAACTTTGTTCTGGGCGACTCCAATGCCGTTTGCTGGCCTTCTTCAAACAGCTTGACTCGGTCCTTTACGCTCTCAAATCCCCCTGGTCCTTCGACATCAGAATTTCCTTCGACATCAGATGGTCCCTCGATATCCGATGGGTCTTGGATATCAGATGGTTCTTCGGTATCATATGGTTTCTCCTTCTGCAATGGCTTTTGCTCAGCCAGCTGTTGTTTGATCTCCAGCAGTTGTTTGATCTCCAATAGTTCTTTGATCCCCACTGGCTTTTTGTTCTCCAATGTCTTCTTCTGCATTGGCTTCTGTTTAGCTACTGGTCTTTGACTAACCAATGGTTTTTGATTAACCACTTTGATCTCCAAAGGTTCTTCGATCTCCACTTGTTTTTTGTTCACGTGTGGTTTCTTTTTCTGCCAGGCCTTTTGTTTAACCAAGGGTTTGGCGATCTTCAATGGTTCTTCGATCTCTGGTTCCTCCGGTTCTTCGAACTCGTCCGATTCTTCGATCTCCTCTGGTTCTTCGATCACCACTGGCTGTTTCTTCTGTTTAGCTACTGGTCTTTGACTAACCAATGGTTTTTGATTAACCACTTTGATCTCCAAAGGTTCTTCGATCTCCACTTGTTTTTTGTTCACGTGTGGTTTCTTTTTCTGCCAGGCCTTTTGTTTAACCAAGGGTTTGGCGATCTTCAATGGTTCTTCGATCTCTGGTTCCTCCGGTTCTTCGAACTCGTCCGATTCTTCGATCTCCTCTGGTTCTTCGATCACCACTGGCTGTTTCTTCTGTTTAGCTACTGGTCTTTGACTAACCAATGGTTTTTGATTAACCACTTTGATCTCCAAAGGTTCTTCGATCTCCACTTGTTTTTTGTTCACGTGTGGTTTCTTTTTCTGCCAGGCCTTTTGTTTAACCAAGGTTTTGGCGATCTTCAATGGTTCTTCGATCTCTGGTTCCTCCGGTTCTTCGAACTCGTCCCATTCTTCGATCTCCTCTGGTTCTTCGATCACCACTGGCTGTTTCTTCTCCCGAGGCTTCTGCTTACCCGCTGGCATTTGGTTAGGGACGGGCTTCCGGTTAACCACTGGCTTCTGTTCAACGACTGCCTTCTGGTTAGCCACCGGCTTCTGGTTAGCCACCGGCTTTTGGTTAGCCACCGGCTTCTTATTAACCACAGGCTTCTTGTTAGCCACCGGCTTCTTATTAACCACAGGCTTCTTGTTAGCCGCAGGCTTTTTGTTAACCACTGGCTCCATAAGCTCCGATGGCTCCTCAATCTCCACTGGCTCCATAACTTCTTTTTGTTTCTTCACGGCAGCCTGCATTATTCCAACAGTGTTCAGTTTACGGTTGCCCCTGAGTAATGGCTTTTTTTGACCTGTCTCGACCTTTTGCTGCACTTCGATTGCTTCATCGTCTGAGGAATATACAATATCCATGGGAGAAAGATCATCCTCCAGTTCCATGGCATTGTTCTGAAAGAAAAGAGAAGCCTTATCCTCATGGACCCGAGGCTGAGTCCTGCCCAGCTTTGGCGAAATGGGTTCTTTCTTCCCCTTCTGCTGTCTTCCGAGTACCGGCTTTCGTTGAGTTTCCAAACGACCCTCGACTGCGGGCCTTCGAGGAGTTTCCAAACAATGCTGGATAGAAGGATTTCGGGGAGTTTCCAGACGATCCTCGACAAGCGGCCTTCGTGCAGACATCAAACCATCCTCGACATTCTCTCGAGGAGTTGCATTTACCTCCCTTGCGATCGTGCGAGTGGCCACCAAAGGCTTCCGTTGGCGTAGATGAGCGAAGGGTCTGGCACTTTGTGGAGTGTTGGATCGCGAGGCACCCACACCTATATCCTGTTGGCCACGGGCAGCTAATGGATCGTACTCGGAGCAGTCGGCCTCATTGTAGTTGGCCGTGAAGAAGTGACGGAACCAGACTGCAAATTCAAAGTTATCCGTGAAGCGACCCTTGATCAGTTGGTCCACCGGGATGGGGGTCAATACCTTGGCCCGATTAAAGCAAATCTGGAGTTCCTTGAAGTTGGCAATGTATTCATATTCCTGATTCGAGAGGAACTTGACGCGGTTCAGATTGACCAGTCCGGGAAAGAGCATGTCCATCATGTGGCAGTAGGCAGCCCCGGTGCACAGGTGCTCGACCTTGCTGATCCTGCATTGGAGCGTGTCGTTGCACCACTCCAAAATGTCCTGACGTGTCCACTGGACCGACGAGTTTTTGGTGACGGTCACGTTACGGGCCCGGATGAATCTCGACATTTCGGTTCGATGTTGTTCAGGAAAGTCTGTCCTTGTAGAGCTATTCCATTGAATTTATAAGTAATTGTATTCTTGAGTGGTCTCGTGTTATTGTTCACTCACCTGACGTTTGTATATCGACGGGAAAGAATAGGGTTTTTGGTGCAAAGTCTAGCACCGAAATTATAATCGTTGAACTGCTATAGATGCTTTTAAAATTCCGAATTACTTGTATTGACCCCGTTTCAATGTGGAAATAGAGTAAAAAGTATTCTACGGAATTGTAAAAACTTTTAGAAATGTGTTCTGTGAAACTGTGTAGTTTACTGTAGGACGTTTTCCCGAATAATGATTTTCTAACCGGCGAACACAGCCCACATCGGTCGAAAGATTGACGTTTCGTTTCAAGGCCCACCTGATTTGGAAAAATTGTACTTTATTTTCCGGTGAAAAATTGCCGTTTCGTTCCAAGGCCCACCTGATTTGGAAACATTTTTTTTTGTTCTCCGGTGACTATTTTCAGGAAAATATCAAGTAACTCGTTTTTTATGGCAAAAAAAAAATTACAATTTTTGTCGAAAATTCAAAATTCAGATTTTTGTCAAAAATTCTACATTTTTTTTTTGGTTTTTCCATCGTAGGTCATCCAAATTAAGGCGTACAGCTAAAAGACCGACTGTTTTGAACAGCTTGCTTAATATGCTAACGATCCTCATCATTCTTAGGAAAATTTATTTTTTGACCAATTTTCTCATTTTTTGTAGGGGTCTCATCACTTTTTTTCGAAAAATGGCAAAAAACTAAAAATTTTTAAATTAGAATGCCAATCGATTGAAAATTAAACAACGAGCTCAACGAGGTATGACATTCCTCATTCTGACTTATACTTTTGTTATGGCAGCCAAAAAACTTAACTTTTTTGGTGAAAAAAATGTTTTACATTTTTGCCAAAAATAAGAAATTCAGATTTTTGTCAAAAATGCGAAATTTTTTTTCGGTTTTTACATCGTAGCTCAGCGAAATTAAGGCGTACAGCTAAAAGACCGACTGTTTTGAACAGCCTGCTTAATATGCTAACGATCCTGATCATTTTTATGAAAATTTATTTTTTGACCAATTTTCTCATTTTTTGTAGGGGTTTCATCACATTTTTTCGAAAAATGGCAAAAAATGAAAAATTTCAGGTTAGAATGCCAATCGATTGGAAATTAAACAACGAGCTCAACGAGGTATGACATTCCTCATTCTGACTTATATTTTTGTTATGGCAGCCAAAAAACTGAATTTTTATGGCGAAAAAAAGGTTAAAATTTTTGTCAAAAATCAAAATTTAGATTTTTGTCAAATTCGACATTTTTATTTGGTTTTTCCATCGTAGCTCAGCCAAATCAAGGCGTACAGCTAAAAGACCGACTGTTTTGAACAGCTTGCTTAATATGCTAACGATCCTCATCATTCTTAGGAAAATTTATTTTTTGACCAATTTTCTCATTTTTTGTAGGGGTTACATCAATCTAGTCAAATTTGTAATAATTTTTAAATCAATATACATATATTGTAAATTTAAATTGGGTTTTAATTATGTATATGCTAGTAAGAAAAATAAGTATTAAAAACTAAAATAAATAGGTCAAAAGGAAATTTAAAATTACCTATAGTCATTGAAGTAAATGAGATATATCTAAATAATATTAATATTTTAAGTTTACTTACGACTTGAAGCTCACGGGCATTAACACTAATACTAATTTATGTGCCTTGCATACCGAGTACTTTCAGAATAAACTATTGGGAATTATTAGATATTTAAATCCAGAATGTGCTTAATGTGCGAACTTTTTCAGAACGAACGTTCTTAAATGGTAAGGATGGAATCGTTCTTAAGTCAAAGCTGTTTGTACTTAATTTTAGCACGGTGTTTTTTTCCCAAGTGTACTCTCAAAAAAACATAAAATGATTTTTATCAAGTCAAACAAATTTATTTTAAAAAATTTCGAACTAAGAGAAAAAAACAATCAACTCCAAAATCAGGGAGAGTACTGTTTGCAAATCAAATTTGAGTTTGAGCCACGTAATTTGGCCTTTAAAAAGCAGCACTCCATTTCAGCTGGCAATCCAATAGCCATTGGCTGCAAACAATTCAATACTTTTGCCAAAAAGCTGGACAAGGATTAGGGAAATTGAATTGGTTTGTCTGACCAGGCAGATTCGGGCAACCCCATGTGGGCAATTTAAATACAGGACTTTTCGCAAAATATAGAAAAAAAAGAGGGAAAATATTCTGAAACGGACATGTCATTGCCATTGTGTTTTGGTTGGCATAATAGCACAAATAAATTGCGCAAATATATGGTCTCTAAATGCTGAGGAAGCCGCACAAAATGTTCAATTGTTTCGGGCATTTTCACCTGGATCAAACCATTTTCGTTTCCATTTTCCACAAATGCATTTCCCCATACGGTTACGGACAATAAACAAAAGCAATTAAATTTGTAAAATTTCGCAACGAGTGAAAAGTGAAAAGTGCAATGTGCAATGTGCTACCTGTGTCCCTGTTGATTAGCCAGATGCTGTTTTGGCAGTTGGCCTTTATATTTAGAATTGATTGCATTTAGCATAGAAATTGGATTGCAAGTCCAGGCGACACAGGCTGGCTTTCAGCAGTCGTGGCAGGTGACTTTAGTTAATGAGAAAACCAACAATTAAAATGGAAATTGGGTTTCCACACGATGTGCTGTCCAAAGATTAGCAGCCAGTCTAAAAGCTGGCAAATACCATTCTACTATTCATTTAATATTCTTTTAGTTGTTCCCCTTAATTTACGATTTTTTTTAGAATATTTTAAATCAATATATCATTCTGTCGACCTATCTCCCAGAAACTGAATATTATTTAGAATTTTAAAACGTTCCAATGATTTTATTATGTCCGCATAAAAGAGCCTAGGTCACCAAATGGAAAATTTATCTTGTGTTTCGCCCATATTTATTTAGCCGGATTCGATCGGACGTTGAACAGTTTGGAAATTCATCGAGTGGCACGTATTTTTATGGCAATTTGCATCGAATCGAATCAAACACGAATATATTACGCGAGCTTCGGTCCGGAAATTTTCATTCGTGTTTGTTTTTTTTTGTTGTTGCTGGCATCGAATCGGAAAAGTGTGAAAATCAGCAAAACACCAACTTGACCCACTTTGGCAGATTGAACCACAACACATACCACACTTATCCGAAAAAGAATTCAATGGCTGAAGGTCTTTAGTTCTCTATCACCAGAAGTATTTGCAAAAAAATTTATCGAACATTCTTACAGTTTCTTTTAAAATAATGTGTAATGCGTAGAGTTTTTGACCAAGTGCCACATAACAAGTTTAGTTTATTTTCATAGCATATCCATTTTAAAAAAGTTTCCAAGATTTAGTTTTCAGTACGGCTTCTCTATTATTCATTATCTTTTTATACACTCAAAAAAAAAAACGCATCCTAAATTCAAGCGCGATTTGTTCTTGATTTCGTATAGTATTTTTAGGCTTGTTTTTTGCTGAGGGTTCTTGAAACAAGAATAAATCGTTCTTAAGCCCCAAATCATCTGAAAATGTGCTTGATTCAAGAACATTATTCAATAAACAGGACAAAACGAACCTAAAGAATAATAAACCTAAGGTATAATGTACTAATTGTTGGCTTAAGATTATTTCATACGTCATTTGAAAAAATTTGTACTTAATAATGAACAAATCGAATTACCTTTGTAAAAATAATAATAAAACTTTCATTCGAATGCCTTTTTTTTTATTTTATAATTATTTTATATTTATAAATCAGAATGCGTTAAAAAAAATTCGTACCTAATTTAAGCATAATAAGTTCTTGGTTCAAGGACATTTCTTACTTGATTTCGCGCGAAAATGTTCTCAAATTCAGAATGCTGGTTTATGAATGAAACATTTTTGAAATGAAAAAATAAGCCCATTTCGTACTTGTGGCATTTTCAAGCCCAGTTAAGCTTGTTTCTGAGTATACTCTCAAAAAAGGGCTTACTGAAATGCTATAATATCTTTAAAATGTAATTAAAAATCGATCGTTGGAATAGAGATACAAAAACGATTTACCTATGTTATTGATAGTATTATTACAGATACGAAAATATAAACAACATTTGAATTTTCATAATTCCAACATATTCTGGATTGGATTTGTATGAAATGGGATTGGATTTTGGGATTTTGTTGGATAAAAAATGAAATTACATTCGATAGGGAAACCCCAAAAATGTCCTAAGTTACTTAATGTGTTTTTAAGGTTAGAGATTTAAGTAGATTTACGTTTGGATGCGAAACCATTTGCAAAAGCCCTTTAAAAATATTTTGTGGCATACTTTTGTGCACCTTTCAACGCAGATTTCGAGCAGGTAGAGTTTTCATTTGTTGTGGACGCTCGCCCGTATTTGTGTATTTAATGTTTATAAACGAAATTGGGTCAAAGTCATTTAAAATTCGTGAGTGGAAAATCCGAATTAATTAAAGAACCTGGCCGTTTTGTTGACGACCTGAACAAAAGCATTGACTTGTGTTTGTCTTTCGACTTTCGACAATAAATAACGAATTTCTTGTGAATTTCCAGCGGGCGAAGAGAGGCGAGAGTTTTTCCAGCGGGGCATTTTCTCTTCGGGGGAAATTGTGGGGGAAATTTTCAATGGGGGAAATTTGCTGGCTATAAAAGCCCTGCAATTTGGGCGCGCGCGTCACAAAGGCAGGCGGACTGCCGACGCGAGTGGAGCGGATAGGGCGGATAAAAAAAAGCGGTTTCAAGGAGGCGCGGATAAAAGTACGAACGGTTTAAAGGACGCAACGAACGGCTAACGGTTAACGACTAACGGCAAGCGACAAACGACGTAAAGTTTTATTCCGTTGTTACCATTACAGTTATTCCGGTTGCTGCGCGATCCTTCCTAACGGTTCGCTGCTTTTTTTGTCCCTTTCTTTTCCTGTGTGTGCCATCCTTGTTTTGTCCAGATTCACAGATTCAGAGATTCACTGAGACAAAAGTGACAAAGTATGCTTCACATTTGAATGGGCATCGCATCGACACATGAAGCGCCGAAGGACGCGCGCTTTTACAACATCCCCCCCCCCACCACCTCCACAGGACCATCCTCAATTCGTTAGAACCCCAAGCGAACCCCCGGAAAGCCATCCATCCTTCCTATACCATCCCCGTACCCAGCAGTTCCATTTCCCGCTGGGATAGTTTCTGTTTGCGGTCCGTGCATTCCCCCCAGCCACACTGTTAAAAAAAAGTATGGGTCCTATATAGGGAGGCAGATAAGTGCGAAACGGAATTCCCATTAAAACCAGAAGGAAGCGCTGATTTATTAACCGATTAGGACTTTCTAGATATTTATGGGTGTTTAAGCCCAACCCAAACCTAAAGCCAAAGAAGATTCTGTAAGGCACCCCAAAACGGCTATAAAAACATAACCTATATAACAACCCCGTAATACTTGTGCCGCCCTCTTCCCGAAGATAAATTTGTAATAATATTATTACCCTTAAAACCAAAAAAAAACCTATTTAAGAGTGCGTCCCTTAACCTTATTAATTATTCCCCAAGGAAGATAGAAAAAAGTTTTTTGAAAAAAAAGTGGTCTTTTATATGAAACCATTACCGTAAGAAAAATCGGCAAATATTATTATAATAATAAATTTCTATAAAAGGGATTTCCGTGGAGGAACTAAAAAGTTTTTAAATTGTTTGAAATCTATGGCAAAGCATATTTACCAACGTATCGTCACTTTCTTTATAGATATATTAAAAGTTATCAGAAAATGGTAAAAACTATTATTACCGAAAGTCAACTTTTTATATTTGTAATTTTTGATAAAAAAGTAGGTTAATTGAAGTTCTAGCTCAAAACATTTAGGGATATATTTATATTTAGGGATATTAATAAAAAGTTGTTTGGAGTTGCTTCCTATAAGAACATTCAGGGGTGCTAGAATATTTAGCGCTTTAAATTATTCCCGATCAGTGATAAGGAAACCTTTTCTTTTGGCGTTATGTAGAGGTCTAAATCAACATTTTGCCCTCGACAGTATCAAATTGTTCTCTCTGCATAAGGAATCGTGCTTGGCCATTTAATTGCGGTCTCTGGTGACCAGGGATGTGGATGAGGACGAGGATGGAGACGTGAATGTGGCAGTAGAATGGTGCTTCCTTCGATTCAATTCGATTTGTCGTAATGAAGCTAGTCCACGGAGCCCCATGCAATAGTTAACATATTTTTATTGCCTGTTGTCGCCAAAGTGTCCCCCGCCAGATCCCCATCCCCATCCCCATCCCCATTCGCATCCGTTTCCCCATCCCATGAGACCATCTATACCCATACCCCCACCGATATATATCCATCCATATAGCCCCGCTCCCTCGGCAGCTTCGGTTTCAAGTGCCATTGGAGCTGAAGCTCCACCGGATTGCTCACTTGATGGCCGAGGGTTGGCCGATTCAATGTTTGCGCTCTTGCGTATCCAACAAGTGCGGGGAATTGGTATAGGGGTATTGAAAGCGGGGGATTTGGGGGATTGACAACGGGTAAGGGAGGTCAAGAGCTGGTCATTCGGGGAGCCGGGCTTAGGTCGAGGGCTTCCCCCAAAATAAGTTGCTTACATCACATCGGGGGGTCGAACGTTTTCGGGGTTTTTAAAAGTCATGTTCTCCCGTTAACAAATCCCGACTAATCAACGATGACAGGAACAGCAATATTTCGTTGGGATTTAGGGTTCGAGATTTACTGGGCATCAAATATGGCAGAATAAAGCTATGTGTAGATGCACATGTGAGTGGAATACTTGAAATATTTAAGGAAGATAGATATATTAAATAAAATCTCTTCTAACATGTCTGTGAGTCGGTATTTCTATATACAAAATATTTTAGATATTTTACGATAATACTATTTCAGTTGGAATCCTAAATATAGTTATTAATGTCTTAGTTTTATGTGGTTCCTTTGGTTATTTGTCCTTCGGTAAATCCCTGAGTTGCATCCACTGGAGAAACCTTCACCATGGTGACCCCTGATCGCAATCAATCGTGGTTGTTCAAACTTTCGCCATCCGAAACTTCCACTTTCCCCCACTTTTTCCCACTTTTTCCCAACAAAAACACACACTCTGTTTGGCCAAGTGATTCATTAAGGCAATTAGCAAAGTCCGGAGTCCGGAGTCCTGAGTCCGGAGTCCTGTGACCGGAATCCGCGGCTGAGGACAAACATTTACCAACACTTCTCTTGCTTGCAGCCGGGATTCAGGATTTAAGGAGAGTGCGAAACCACCTAATGCTCATTGAAATTTACGATTATGCTGCGAAATTATTAAACAATATGACCGCCAGAGGAGTGAGGGAACCAACAGCCGGCGGAGGCGGAGGCGGAGGCGAAGGCCAGGAGACCATTAATAACGAATCTGCAGGGAAGCTTAATCTGAATGTGAGGGGCCTGCTGAAACGCACCCTGGCCAGGGTGGCCCGGGCCAATCCCGCCCAGCACGTGACCAACCTGCCCGTTTCCGCCCTGCTGCTCCAGGCCCTCGATGCGACGGACGTGGCCCAGGGCCAGGACATCGATCCATCCACCAGTGGGCCAGAGGTGGATGTGCCCGAACAGCCATTCCCATTTCCGTTCCCCAATGACACTGGCAATCCGTTGGCGGGGAATGGGGACGCGGCAACGGACGTGTATCTGCCCGCCGGCAATCTCAGCGGTTTCATCAAGTCCTCAACAACGGCGGTGATGAGCACGCTACCGCTCCCGATCCCCACCAGCAGCACCATGGCCACATTCCAGGCCCAGACGGTGGCCACCTTCATCGCCGCCACCGGCACCAAAAATCGCCCAACGACCATCGTTGTCTACCCAACGGGTGAGTTCTTAAATATTCCTAGATTTAATTAAAACATCTCTACACTCGAAATAAGAACAGAGAACTTTGTATTTTACTTAAATAAGGAAGAAACAGTGTCAATATATCGTTAAATTTAAAATTACAAGGTAAAAAAACGCGAATTCTTCATTATATTAAGAACATTTTGATCTAACTTACTAGATTCAAGTATAATGAGAACGTATGTATTCTTAGTCTTAGAACTTTTCATCAGGCCTGCTCTGGTTTTTATATATTTAAGAGATTTTGTTGAACTTCATTTAACTTTGAATTTGTTTTTTAAGCAACTGTGAAAAATGCTAAGTTAAAATTGTTAGGTATTTCTTACTTTCTTAAGTATTTCTTAATATTAAGGTTTTTGAAAATGGAGTTCGAATAAGACATTCGAAAACCTGTATATCATAAAATGAGAAACACATTTTCAAACGACGGATTTGAATTAAAATGTAAGTGCGATAATGTCAAAGTTTTCTACCTTTTGTAGGAACAAAAAATTGTTTTAAGTGCTGTAATTATCTTTTAAAAGTCAAATGGACTTTATAATTGCAAAAATTATGTTATATTTTCCAACATTTTTTTATCTGGGCTAACTTTAGTCATAAATACTGACAGAACTGTGAACAAAAGTTTTTTCATTTACATTTTTTAACGATTTTCCAGATTTTATGGCACTTCTTAGTGTGGGCAAATGAGTATTTTATTGTTCGTCTACTTAAGGAAGTAATTACTATGCTAATTGCTATGCATTTTCATGAATTTTCGAGTATGTGAAATCAAAATCACTTCCTGTTAAAGCGCAACTGGCTAATTAAATATGCATGATGATGGGGTGAATCCTTAAGTTGCCTTTGAACGGAACAGAATGTAATTCCTTTATCAGCAAGAACAAATCCATGGCAAAATTACTTTTAAATGTCATTTAAGGTGTCTAAAAGTATGCTACAATATATTTTAAACTAAGAAGTACAATGAGTTATTTCAGAAAGACGACTTTGCTTTATTTATAGCATGATCTTAGACATCTACAAGTTTTTTTTGCGAGAAAGTCTTAGTTTTTGTTTTGATAGTTGGTAAACTCTTATAAAAGTACACAGCCCTCGTAAAATATTTAGAAGAATTACAATATATTTACAATATATTTCCATTATCAGCAAGAACACATCCATGGGAAAATTACTTTTAAATGTCATTTAAGGTGTCTAAAAGTATGCTACAATATATTTTAAGCTCAGAATTACAAAGAATTCCTTCAGAGAGACGACTATGCTTTATTTATAGCACACTTTTAGACACCTAAAATTTTTTTCGGAGAAAGTTTTAGTTTTTGTTATGATAAATGGCAAACTCTTTTAAAAGTACGCAGCCCTCGTAAAATATTTAGAAGAATTACAATATATTTACAATGTATTTCCATTATCAGCAAGAACACATCCATGGGAAAATGACTTTTAAATGTCATTTAAGGTGTCTAAAAGTATGCTACAATATACTTTAACTTAGAGTTACAATGAATTCTTTTAGAAAGACGACTAGGCTTTATTTATAGCATACTTCTAGACACCTAAAAGGTTTTTTGGGAGAAAGTCTTAGTTTTTGTTATGATAGATGGCAAACTCTTTTAAAAGTACGCAACCCTCGTAAAATATTGAGAAGAATTACAATATATTTACAATGTATTTCCATTATCAGCAAGAACACATCCATGGGAAAATTACTTAAAAATGTCATTTAAGGTGTCTAAAAGTATGCTACGATATATTTCAAACTCCGAAGTTCAAAGAATTCTTTCAGGAAGACTATGCTTTATTTATAGCATACTTTTAGACACCTAAAACTTTTTTATGTTAGATTTTGCTTTAATATATTTAAAGAATTACAATATATTTCTTAAATAAATAACCACTTCTGTGGCTGTTTTCTCTTTATAAAAATTATAAAAGTACTTACAAGCTTTCAAGCCATGTTTAATCAGCAATGAACTCTAATTGAATTTGTCACTGTTTTGGGCAGTAAACAGTTGGCCCCTGAAGTCACATCTCCCCCCAAATTAAAAGACTCTTAACGGCCTTAAGTTAATTAGGGACATTTGCCGGATCGGATAAGGATAAGGTTCCTGCCCCGGCGATGGCCCACTGAGGTAATCAAATCAGTGCAGTCAGTCAGCCATCGAGGTCGCGTGCCAGGCTCAGATCCATGCCAAGACCAGGAGGCTTCTCCAGCTCCAGATCCTTGTCCTCCTCCTTCTCCTTCTCATCCTCATCCATTCCCACACCCATCCCAATTAGTCGCCCCGTTGGCGGCGTTAATTTGCATGAGCTGACAACCGAGTCCTCATTATCCGCATTGACTCCTCCAAATGCTCCGGCTGCCACGTCAACTTATTTTTTATAGTTTCGGCGGCAGGACAAAGTTTGCTTGGCTTTCGGCCTGACTTGGGCCAATCTCGAAAGTTGCCCCAAGAGTTTCGCGACGGAGATCCCAATCCCTCCGGGTCTAACCCACTCCATTTCCATCACCCCAACCATTCAGCAATTAGACAAGTCTAAGTCGCAGTAATTGCAAAGAGTCGCACTCGAATTTAGCTGTTGATTGTTCGAGGCAAGTGTCGCCATCAGTTGAATAGTGGGTTGGGTAAAAATGGGTTGGGTAGACTGGGCTGTCGTGGGTGGGAAAAATGGGTTGGGTTGGGTTTCTGGGCCTCTGCAGCTGGCGCCAATGTCGTAGCGCCCCGAGCCATTCACAAATTAGAGTCTTAAAAAAGGCTGCACGGAAATAAAAAATATTCAATTCAGCGGTGTCCCCGATTTTCGGGTTGGAAAAACATTCGCTGGGCAAGCATTAAAAAGTTTTTAATTTGTTTCCGATTCAATTTCCTTTTGAACCTTTTTGAACAGCTCTTTGATTTCAAAGATATACATAAGTTGAACAGTTTTTTGTGCAAACCTTTGAAATGCGCAGTTGAAAAGGTAGAAAATAAGTAATGGTTTTTCTTTCCAAGAAAAGGTAGTATGATTAATATATAAATATGATTAAGTACTTCCTTGTAGATTAGTATTTATTTAATAAATGCTCGTACTATGTGATTCCATTTTGATTTTGATTTGATTTACTAAGATCTCTTAGAACAACTCTTTGGTTTAAAAGTTTACATAAGTAACAACAATATTTCTTCAAAGAAATATCTACAAAGTTGTATTGAAAAAAATATATTAAAATATTAAATAAACACGGTACCTACATAAAAAAAGTTTTTAATATCTTTGAAAAAACTCTTTGTTTAGTTTAAAATCTTTTACTTAAATTTGAGACAATTTCTATACGACATCCATACGCTGTTATAAAATAATTTTTTTTATATCCAAATATATAATTGAAGATAATATATATAATTAGGAAATGTTCTATAGATGTTAAGTAAAGAAGCTGCCATGTAAAATGAACTTTGGCTTTTCCCCCTTCCGAAATCGTTTGGTTTGGGAGTTGCTTAAATATTTAATTAATTGAATTAAATCCCCTTTTTTTTGGTTGTGTGTTTGGCTGGGGTCTTTATTAAGCGAACTGGCTTCATCATCACACTGCCACGGCTTCGGTGCCAGCGAAATTTGTCGACAACATCGTCGACTTTCCCCATTCGCCTTATCAGACTGTGGATTCTGTAGGCCCATAACCATCTCATTTCCCCAATCCCCACTACAATCAGTCGTATATCTGCAGCATTATCGACAGCAAAGAGCAAGGGGGTGGGGATTATTCTGGGGAAAATGGGAAAATGGGAGGAAAATGGAAGGCACGTCAATGTCAGCGCCCTCAACGGCCTGTGGGCGTGGCTCTCGAGCTGCTGCCACCTTGTCAGTTCGACACAAGATACAACTTTTCGTCCATGACAGCAGAATGAAAAATACAAAAAAAATCAAACAAAACAAAACAAAAAGAATCGCAGATGGGGGGGGGGGGAAAAAAAACTTGGCCATTACAATTTTCGCCAACAAAAAGTGCGTAAATTCATCCGATAAAATGGTGTAGCAGGAATGCGATGTCCTTCAGCTCCATTGATAAGTTAACAATGCATTCTACTTAGCGAAACACTCGAATGCCTGTTCGCTTTTCGGGGGAGTTCTCGTTTTTCATCCAGATGCGAAGAGGGATGTTTTTTGGCGAACAATACTCAAATATTCGCTTTATTTCACATACACAGAAAGCGGGCCCTGGTTTAAGCTCACTTTAATAGTGGTTGCCTCTATATGAAACTTTTATAAAAGGCAAATCGATTTAACAAAAAAAAAAGGATAAGTTTTGGTACTTGTATCACAGAAATTACTTATTAATATCGTAATGTACCAAAAAGTAGGCAACAGAATATTTTAAAAGCCCACAAAACGACAAACTTTATTTCACTGCATACTTTTAGACACATTTTTAATGATTTTTGTGGCACTCTCACATTTTATTTAATCAATTCGCATTGTGGCTTTAATCATAATTCTTGCTTATCCGATTTAAGAACATATTTTCCTCTATACTCATTTTCTTCTTTTTCTTTATTCTAATTGATTACTTCTTTTGTTCAGCTTCACTTTCTCTTTACGACCGCATCCTTTTTTTATTTATAATATAAATGAATCCCTCTGATGAGTTAATCAAGTTAATGTGTTCACCAGTGTTCGAAGGGTTGGAGCATGACGTCCTTTTTTTCCTTTATCGAACCGAGAAATTCGGTGTAAGCCCGAAAGCTTAGGACTTTAAGGACTTTGGCTAACAATTTGAATGGTTTGTGTTTGAGTTTAAAAACGGTTATGTAAAAACCACATTTTACTGGTCATCCTGAGTGTCTTAGCTTATGCCAAAGTCCAGTCAACAACAGGCCAAAACTGACTTTGATTCGGGCGGAATTCCGTAAGCTGAAGCCCCGAAACAAAGTGAAACTTTGGGGCTGTATTAAATGCAAACTATCCTCCGAAGTTGGTCCTCTCACGTCCTTC